GTCAGATGCTTATTGCTGTTTCCTCCTTCATTTTCTCTGGGATAATTGCCCTATCTATGGTAAAACATTTTAGTTTTTTCATTATCGTTGAAGTCAAAAGCTATCAGCTATTGTAGCTATTTATGAGTAGGTAATCAGAATAATCACTGGTTGCATGATAGTTCTTCAAGCAAACGAAACTTCACTGATTTTTAATTTTTTTTTTGTAGTAGAAAAAACACATTTTTCCAATGGTTTTTCAAGGAAAGTTCAGTTCCTGCAGCTTTAACGCATAAGGAAATAATTTTGCTTTCAAAAGAATGACAGTCTGTCTAAATAGAAAATAGATAATTTTCCAAATCCACAAAAATTTTAAACAAATCACTGCTAGATCATGTGCAAGACCTGTCTCGCACTGTTGCAGCTATTGATGTTGGACTACTGAAGATACATTTTGATACAGAGAATGGATGTGGACAGAGGTTCCAGGTTTATATCCCTGTTTCTCACAGCTCAGGGGACAGAATTTCTTTGTAAATCTAAAATGTGTTAAGAATTCATGAATGAAGGTCATGAAGACCATAATTTCAATGTGAGCCTGGTCTTGTTTGATTTACGTGTTTGTTTTCTTACTCTTAAAATAATCTAAGCTTAATATAACAAAAGCAGGAATAAACCACAGTAAATTGGTTACTACCGAACCTTACAGAAAAAAATATCTGAGCAAACCACACTGTTATCAATAACATAGCTATTTTTTGTCAATTGCTTCACAAAACTGGATGGAAATTTGATGGCGTGCTGCAAGACAATAGGCATGAAAGTCAACACTAAAATGCCTAGTTGTTTGTATTTCTGTGCAAAATGTTAAGTGGCTGAAACAAATGACAAACAAAGTCATGCTGATGCCATCCATAAAATATAATTTAAAAATTAAAAAATTGGGTGATTAGCTAGTATATTAAGTGCAAAAGCTGTTTTCATGTGCTTAGATCTAGATTTGGCTTCAATTTGGATTGAAGCAATGTTTAGAAATATATGTCTGTTTTACACTATGACGACAGGCAGGTATTGGAACAGGTTGCTCACAGAAGTTATGCAGTCTCCATCCTTGGAGATTCTAAAGACCAGATTGGATACAGCCCTGAGCAATGTGGTCTAACAATATAGTTAATCCTGCAGCAGGCTGGACTAGGATCATTCATGTTAGACCCTTCTAACATGAATGATCCTATCCTGATATAGTATTGTGGTAGAACTACTACTATTAAGAACCTATAAGCATTTCTATTTGAAGGTTCATAATCATTTATTTTCTTAGACAAAATATCCTCAACTGGTATCTGATAATTTACAAGCAGTTTTCATTTGAAATGACACTTTGCTAGGACTGAGTTAGACCTCAATCCCATGAAGTGTTGAGAGCTTTAAGTATGATTCAGCAGGAATCTTAGAAATCCGCAAAGCTTTTCAATTCCTCTAAAGCCCACAGATGCATTATTTACCAGGAACTCAGTGCTTATGAACTAAGACCAAAGTCTCTGTGCTGTGTGTGACTTTCAAGGTCATGTCCTGCGAGTGCTAAGATTATACTATAATAAGAAACAAAACATAGATCAAATTCTTCCCTTGAGAAATTATCCTGATGAAATCAGGTTCTTCAAAAGTTACCTCATCACATTTTGAAAGATGCACAGAGAATTAAAATTTGTCAGCGATATCAAAAAGGAACTAATGAAAAGCACAGAGCAGTACACCTGTAGCATACTATGCCAAAAGCAAATTTTTATCACATGCATGCAAAAGTATCAACTTGAAGTTATATCCTGCAATTAATTTCATACAGGCAACATAATGCATTCAATTCCGTATTGGTTGTAAAACTGGGATCTAGTCCAACTACTAAGACCTATTTCATAAACAGAAATGTTAAGGAAGTATTATAAAAAACATCAGTTCTCTTATGGAGTATCTTGAAAAACTGATGGATAAATCATTATCATAAACTGGAAAAAGAGCTGTCTGTCTAACTGCAACATAAAATATTTCTCTGGCTCTGGAACTTGCAGTAAAATTTGTTGCAAAATTTTAAGCCTGTATTTGAATTTATTTCTCAGTTCTAATACGAAACAGGAAAATGAAATTTAACAGTTAATATTTAGTCTTGATATTTTTAGTGACTTCTTGAGTTATGATAATGTTTTACTATGCCTTGAAATAATAAAGAACGTTTTAAAACAATATTACTATTATCTTAAATACTGATCTTCAGTTGTAGAAGTTCTGTGAGGCAAGTTATTATAATTTTTTGTCATGTCATATCTACTCTTATAAGCATATAATGAGATAAGCTGTGACTTACTGTACAGCAAAACTGACTGAGTTGACACAGTTGTTACCTTGTTTCACGATGTATTTGCTCGTATAACTTCCATCTCTAGGTTAAGGTTATAACAGGTTAAAAGCAACATTACAAAAAAAAAAAAAAAAAGTTTTGTAGTGCTAAATCTAAGTTTCCATCTTGATAAACATACCTGGGACATCTGGAGAACTGCAGCTATTATATCACATAAGTTGATATCACAGCAAAGCTATAAGCTGTAACAATTAATGGGAAAAGATATGAAATAACAAAACTGACAATCTGACCCTGCCCAGTTCATCTTATACAGGACCACTAGTGCATCCAAGGTACACCATAGAAAAAAGTCTATCTATTCTACAAAAATTAATTTTAATTAAGTAACATTTTAAAGTATGGTAGTACCCAGCGTTAATAAGGTTTCTTTTTTTAAATGCAAAAAATATTGTGCTTACTAACATATTGCACAGAAAAAAGGGATACTTTTTGCCTTAGGCTAGAGAGTACATAAATGTAAGTTTTTTTCAAGCTATTCGTTGTTAAATCTGGACAATATAGTACCAAATTATATTTTCCACTTTCCCTGCACAGTGCAGCATTTAGACATTAAGACCATGTTGGAAATACAGACTACTTAATGCAAGAACAAAACTTTCTAGTATGTTCATATGTTTATGTTGCATAAGATAATACAATCCATCTGTTGGAAAAATCCTCACTGAATATTATATGTGTCTTAGTAAAAAACATGAATAGAAATCAAGATTTTTTTTTTAAATCCCAAACTGAGTAATAGTGAGCCTTACAAAGAAATATGTTTAGGAACCTGAGGCAAATTATACATGTTAATGTTGGAGTCACTGAGAACAGTTAACAGAATGTAACCAAATGTCAACTGGAATATTTTGCAGTAACTTACCGAAGAGGTCTGTGTTTAATGAATATATGAACGCTTGGTTTCTAAGTTTTCAACTTCAGATGGTGAAGATTAAGTGTTAAGGGTGTTACTGTAAACGTTTAAGTGAGATGAACATCACCGATTTTCTAATTTTACCACATGGTTTATTTCAGAAGAAAACAAGCACCAGTTACATAGTTCTCCTGCAAGTCTGTAAACAGTCACACACGAAAACTCAATACAATTTGCTTCTTTGTTTATGTGCAGGATATTTAGTTTGGTTTGCAAAGTATTAGAAGAATAATAAGAACCTCCTGGCAGAATACCGCAACTAAATTTCTGAAAAGCCACTCAGTTAATCTCAGTGTTGAATCTAGCTGTTTCAAATTATTGTAATGTATAATAACAGTCTTATTGACAATATAGATGCACAGAGCCAAAAAAAGCTAGAAATAGTGGCCAAAATGATGAACTAAGCGCCAGCCCAAATGACAACAAACATATGGCCATTAACTGAAGAATGGAGGGGTTTAGGAATGCAGCTGTCTGTGGTCTCCTAAAAGTTCCAGAGGAATGAAATGCTGCGAGGATTGGCAAAGTCTGGATGAGAAGTACTACTGAAGATGGTAGGTCCTAAAATGGAGTCAAGCATCAGTTCATGTTGGAATTCAGAGATTTCTGTGGTCAGAATATATTCATTCCATTGGCCTCATAATGTACATCAACAAATTAATATTGTGTGGTTGTCATTTCAAAGCCTACTGAAGACGAAGAGCCATTATTGAAGCCATTAGAGCACAGATGGTTCAAACTATATGCAGATATTCATACTTGCATTTCTGTATTATAGCTGTTTTTTTTCTGTTGAACTGTAATGAATTGTCTCATAATCTATTCCATCTTCTTGCCATTAGCAGGCTTTGAATGTTCACAAATAGGAGCAAAGAACTCATTTTCCAGAGCTTTAATCACACAAAGAGGGAATGCCTAATTCTCTAAATGAAATGGTCTGCGATCACTGAAGCAGAGATTTAATATATCACGGCAAATTAGGTAGATTTTAATAAATTACTTATCTCTCTGAATACTTTACATATGCTTATGAAGAAACATAGCCTGTTTGCAAACAGTGGAAATCCACAGCCTATAAAATCCTTTGAAGAAAATGACAAATAAAAAAGTAAATTAAAAAATGAAATGCATTATATCCTTGTTCTCAAGAGACAATCCTTTTGCAGCATTGATTCACAGCTCCATTAAAAATATCAATTAAATCCTTCACTGAGATTGGTTAAAAGCTGGAAAATTAACTTTCCAAGCTAGACACTGGTCATTCAGATACAACAATTCATTGTATATGTTTGATGTAAGTTCTAAAAGTGACAAAAAACAAATGAAAACATAGTTGCCTGTCCCTACAGCTCAAACTAGGTGAAGCAAAATCTGATACTGTATGGCTTCTTTTTGTGCTTTGACAGATGTTGACTGAAAGTAAGTCTTTTACTACACAGAAAAATAATTGTGCCTGCCCTCCCCCTACTTCAAATCATGATAATCATAAACAGCTGATTAGAATGTTAGTAGAAGGGTAAAAGTTATTTAAAAAAAGGTTGCAGTAATTTAATAAGTCCTGCAACTAGCCTCATTTTTTATATTTAATTGATAGGAACTGCATGCATCAAAGAAAACACATACTGAGATTTAATGTGCATAAAATGGATATTAGCATTTTAAAGAGGCAGATTAACACATTAATCCAAGTAATTTTCATATATTGCTTTTAATAAAATCTTCACAGTATAAAATTCTTAATGAGGCTAATCACAGGCATTCCATTTAGTGGGGTGATTAGGGATAACATAAAAGTATTTTTAATCAGTTTTCTAAGGCTTATGTTTTTTTTATTAAAAATTAAAAATTTGACTTGCATTTTTATTACTGTTTTATGTACGAAAAAATCTTGAAAATGCAAATAAAGCACATCATTCAATCATGTAGGTATTAATTATTTACAAGACGTTGTCCATTGTGGAGAGATTCTTAGCCTTAGGGGGGAAATATAAAAACAAACAGACTGAAAAGTATACAAAACTTTACAACTACAAATCAAGCATCCTTTTCGTATAAATTATACATTAAATATGTGATAAGAATTACAAAGATCTCATCTTTGAAGCACTATCAAGCATGTATTTACACTGGGAGAAGGAACTTCTGTAGGCAAACTTCCCTTTCATGCCTCCTAGTCATCTTTGCATTCCTCATAGACTGAACGCAGTGCGTGGAGGGCTTCCACTGTTACTTTGAGCTTTCCAATTACTGCACTATCATCTTGTGAATCAAAAACTAGAAAGGAAACATCAGAAAACAGCATTAGCAATTTCATTTAAGGTTTTGCTTTTGTTCTGATAATTCTCCTTAGCATTTGGACAGATTAAAAGGCACCTAAGCATATGCTTAAGAAAAGAGAAAAAAAACAAAAAAAGGAATAAAAAAGAAATCTTCCAGTTCAGACACTCAGCCTACTGGAAACTGAGCGCTCTAAGAACTAGGAAGTACATCAATAAAAGTATTAGTGTTGGAACTAATTTTGAAATAAAGAAAACGGTATGTATGACAATTGCCTATATAAATTAATTATTTTTCACAATGCCTAAAGATAAACGTTCCAAACTCGATTAAAGACACATATGCATACTTATTAAAAGGTTTAAGTAAAAAATTATACCAAGTAATGCATTTCTTACACTGTGTGTATGACTGGTCCAAATCAGCCTGGACAGTTTTCAGTATTTAAATAGTAAATTCTTTTTTCCAGTTGGTGCAATGCAAAATTATTTTAATTCCAGGCTTCTCTATGTTGTAAAGTAGTGAAGTGCAGACAAAGATGGTACTTCCCCTAGTATAAACTATTTAACTACCTTCATCTTTGTCTATGTGGTTTTAAAGTAGTACTTAAAATTTCTATTTTACAGAAATTAGCTAACATGATTTAAAATTGCACTCTTACAATATCTAAGTAAGCCCAGAGGGCCACAGTCTCTGCTGCTGTGATTAAAAACATGCTGCTAACAGTCAAAAATGAGGCTCTTTCCCAGTCCTGCATAAAAAGCAATGAGGCTGCCTAGCATGACTCTAGAAGGAATCTGAATAAAACCAAATAATCTTGACAGCACGTCTTTTCAAAGCAAATTATACAGCAGACAAATGGCAAGGTTATGTATTTACTGTATAAACCAGGGTAAGTACTCTGGGACATGCAATGACACTGCATGCTGCAACTTCTAGGCTACTGGTACAGCTCAGAAGAGGTTTGGAGAATGAAAAACATGAAATAAACCTTCCATCAGTTACTTTGTTGACTGAGCTATTGTAGGACAGACTGGATGCTAATCTTACGAGAGCCAAACCATTTTGTATATCCTTGGACAAATCACTCGGTGAACTGTCAACTTAAAGAGCAGACTTCAGGGGACGTTATTATTTTTACTTGCAAGAATGCTAGGGTAACTCTAATTAATGATATCAGAATATAACATTAATTCTATTTTCTCAGTTTTAATATTGTCATATTATCTCTGATACATCTTACTATACGTCTTGTCTAAACTGTTTTCATCCAGCCTCTTCCTTAGCCACTCACTCAATTGCTACAAATTTCATGCAGACCACTTTCACACAATCAGCAACGAAAGGAACAAGATGTGAAAAAGATACATACTTGCAGTCCTCAAAAAGAATGAAAGAAGTTTACTTTATATAACTTAAGAATGATTAGATCTTCACGTGGTAGTTCCCTATGAAGGTTCCTCTGTCTAGGTTTATTCTTTTTCCCTCAAACTAATAACCACCTCAGAAAATGTGTACAGTATTATTTAGGAATTCTATTTATTGTGCCATTACATTTAATTCAAGTCTGTGTCCAGCTCTTAAGAACAGATCCTTTTACAATGACTTTGGCCAAGAAAATACACCAATATATTCTTCTTTTGCCATGATCTGACATACATTAATGTAAATTTAATTTTAATTCTCTGAAAGTTCTAAGTTTTCTTTCAGAAAGTATGGGTATGGATGCAATAAAAAAAAAAATCTAAATTGTACAGCATCTACAGGGAAGGGGAGAAGTGTGGGCAGGAATAGAAGTATTTCTATCTACTATTATCACTTTCATATCTAACATACATAAAATAAAAATTAGTTCAAATGTCCCATGATTCAGGGAAGAAATGCTCCTCACAATACTGTGGTAACTATCATTACATAGTAACGATTACCTTTTGACAGAACAACAACTAGTAACAAAACCCAGCGGTTCCTATCATCGTAATTATCTTAGATGATGATAAGGAGTTTTAAGAGTTTTGTGAAAAGTGACTGTCAAGCATACAAAACTATATTTACATCTCTAATCAATCTTATCAAATGAGAATTATGACAATGGGAATTATGGCCATAAAATCCAGAACAAAAACAATTTTCCAGAGAGAGACTATGAAATACCTTTTTGGAGGAGAGGTGATTTCGTACAACTAATTGGAGAAATATTATTAGTGGAGAAAATATTAAGTGGTTCAGCCACAGTAAGAAATGCATCAAATCTGTATATTATTTTTCCAGGGTATGGAAATCTGATTCCTCTTAGAATTTTCCTTATCATGTTCCTGGAACTTTGATGCATACTTTCAGTATTTTAGCTACAGCATGGATGCAAATCATGCATGATAATGGAAATGGATAAGGAAGCCTATTTCTTTCCCTCGCTACTCAGCTCCCCATCACTCAAGGTACGGTAATTAGACACAGCAGAAGTAGCAAAGCCACATTAGCTTGGCATTCAACTAGGGCTAACTAGAATTCTTGCTATTGCAGAGTACCTTGTGAACGTGGGTGCACTGCGTCTAGTAATCAAGATGGTTCACTTACCATTATAGGAGAGTAACTGTTTTATAAACAGATTACTCTCAGCCTCTGCACTGAGCTTTACCACAATGGGGAAAGAGGATGGAGAGGAACAGGTAAGGAGAAAAATGCACCACTGATAACCGTGTCCCTGCTACCTTGGGGAACAGGAAAGTCTAAGCAAGAGGAGTATTTTCCTTCACGGTCTACGAAAGGATCGAGTAGCCTTCTTGAGTCTTCTTACCAGCATTATAAAATGCTGCTGTAAGATTCCACATCTCCTATTCATCTCACCTTTCTTTAATGAGTCATAGTGAAATTTCGGTCACAGTCTGTTACAGAAGGATTCTCACTCTGAACTGATACCTAAACAAAGTCACCAGTATTTCATATTGTCTCAGACAGAGGTTTCATATGGAGGACACAAGCTTGAAGTACTCTGGGGGTTATAACATAACTTCAAATACGATATGGACATTAGCAGTACACAATTAATGACATAAATTTCAATAACAAAAGATATTTATGTATAGACTTACTAGCATGAAGTATGTTGTATAAAATAGGGAGTTATAGTAAGTGGACATGTCCTGAAATTTCTTAGGTTTTATAAGATAATTACTATGAGCTGGGAATGCTGTTTGGTTTTGGTTTGGTTTCGTTTGTTTTTCTAAAACAAATTTTAAGGAATAACCATAGTACACAGTTTTTGCAGACTTTTGCAAAAAAATGTAGACGCCATTAGGTAATATAAAATAATTTCTTATTGAAGCAATGTCAAACACACAGTAAAGCTTGCAGAGAAAAGCAGAAATTCAACAAAATTTGTAGGTAACACAAGATTACAAGTAAGTAATCTCTAAAACTTACCATCAATATCTTGCTCAATGATATCTCTCTGCTTCTGAAATATCTCTCTCAAGCTGACATAAGCGAAACCGATATCTTCACATTCAAGATCCTGTTCATCTTCTGGGGGATCACTGACCACTGTAAATCGTAGGCTAAGCATAAAAAAAAAAATAAATATAGATATATGGTACCTTCAAAAAGAGTTGAAAATTAACTGAAAAAAACAGAAAAAAAGACAAAACACACACTCTTTTTTTTGTCAGTCAAGCATAAACCAGAAGTCTTCATCAATTATATTCAACGTTTTCTATGATAAGAATAGTCTGCGATCCTTTCTTTTAAATCCTCCTTCCTACTTTAGCATTATTTAGCAGTACTAGAAAGACAGAGAGGTTATAACCACAGATCTGCAGGCTTACAGAATTGTTTAATTTTTCTCCCCTCTCTCCACCACTCTGTTCATATGGCAGTGACAGGCAGAGTAGTCCAAGGATTAAAGCCTTTTTCACCTTTGAAACTTGTAAATTTGTTTAGCTCAGCTGCTGATTGTTCAAGTCACTTAGTTTCTTTATATTTACTCCCTGTAGGTAAAAATCAAGATTGTATCTATGCACTTTGAGGCTTTTATAGCAAAACTTATTTATATAAAATATCTGAAAATAAAGGTAGGGGATTTTTGGTAGTTGTGGTAGGTTTTGTTTTTGTTTTTGGTTTTGGTTTTTTTTTAAGGATTTTTACTGTGTTGACCATACCACACAAATTATTTGATGTGAAGAAATAAAAACTATTCATAAGCAATAATGAAAAGTTTAGATTAAATGTCATTATGATTTGTTGGTTAAAGCCTTTTAATATCACCAACTTGTTAAAAAAGTTCAACTACTTCAATTCATAAAGCCACATAAGATGAATCTGTATCATAATTTCAGTTTTGAAGTGGAACATGTTTATGAAGTAAAACTCCTCAGTTGTCCCCAGTTACAGTGTTTTACTTGCATTAACTGGATTCCTGTTGAACAAGACTAAACTAAACTGAAGATGTGCTCCTAATCCACTCCACTGCAACAGACATTCAGTCAGTAGGATCCACTAGTATTCTGAATTCTCAAAATTATCCTAAAAATCTATGTACAGTGAATATCAGACCATTAGCAACAACTGCTTTACACTACAGATTCTTGGGGCTGCACCACTTGATCATTTAGATCTAGCCTTAGTAAAGTTTAAGCCATACATTTTCTTGGCTTCACACTGAGTGGTGTGGGAGACATGAGATAAACAATTGAGGAAGATAAACCATATCAAACGTTTTCCTGATATCAGAAACACTAGCCATATTCAGTGAATCAAGTATTTCCAAACACCAAGTGTAAAATATTTAGCTGAAAGTTATTGAGAATTTTCACACTTCATTTAGATACTTGGCGAGAATATTCTAGCCAAGAACACATACCACAAAAATAACAGGAACCTACAGGCAGTTCTCTTAAAATAGTATCTTTCTAATGTTGTCTGGTGTATTCATTATTTAAAGTTGGACCTTACACAGTTATTTGTCCTGCACTTGTTCCCTCTGACCAATATATCTCATATTTTATCTTCATTCTTCTGTTCCTGTTTAACACATAGAAAACTAACCATGAGTCCAGCCTGGATACAAAGGCCTCTGAACATTTACCATGCTGTCTAAACACAGCCTGTTTGTCCATCCCAAACATCTAAGCCCAACAGCTATACAAAATATTTGCATTTCTTCTGTGAACTTAAATTACACTCATTGCATCCAAGTATGGCTTTTCTTTTAAACACATAATTCCAGCATTGTGCTGGAGCTGACTTGAATTAGTGGCTTGTGTGGGGGCCAAAAACACCGAGACTGATAAAATGACAGGAATTCAGAGCTAACTACTTTTTTTGGTATGTCTTGGCAATGTTGCTTAAACTGTGAATGCTTGTGAGCCTTAACAGTCTAAAAATGTTACAGTAAGCATAATTCCAAATGAGTAACAATCAAGTCGTATAAAATCCAAGTCTAAAGGAAAGGATATGTTCGATGAAATATAATCAAATCTTCCTAAAAGACTAAACAACAACAAATGCAATATGCTTTTATAGTAGTTTATTTTTGTGCTTGGCTCTTACTAACAAATATTAACTATAGAAAATACATACATAAATATTTGTTTCTCACTAAAACCAGACACCTATTGAAAATATGTTGTCTTCAAAAAATTTTCTGGAGGCAAAATAGGAAAAATATCACAGCTATTTCCAACAGCAGGTGGCTTGATTGAGTATAATGGATCTAACTTAAGATTTTAGCACAGACCTAAGCAGCAGCAAAACTGCTAAAACTCAATCAAAAATAAAGAAATATTTAGACATGTAAGATAAATATTAATGAAATAAAAACAAAAGTTGTAAGAATTAGTGATAAAATTGTTGGGTATTGGGAACAGAACTGTTCTGTTATGATTCTGTGTCCATGTTAAATCAGTTTAATTGGAGAAGCCATGAATTTGGTGGATTAATTTTTAACACTTAATGGTACCAACTACTACTAAAATTTTCACTAAAGTACAAACTAAAAGCAGGCCTAGCAACATTTGGAACAGTACCTTGGAGCCAAAGTGGAGAGTTGTTCATACTGGTCCACTTTCCGGTTCAGATCAGATCCAAGTATTTTACATGAATAGAGCAAGTCTCAACAAAACAGATCAGAAGAATTGCACCTCTATAGTTCCAATATATCTAAAAGATCACAATATTGGATTAACTCTCTGCTGCTAATCAGGAAGGAGGAGATTTGAACCCTGGATCATATGGGAAAACTCCAATGAGTAGACTGCAAGAATGGTACCACAATCAGTTTGACTTCAGTGTTTTTAAAAAAATATTACAAATGCTTTAAGTTTAGAAAATATTTAAATACGATATGCAGTATGCTTTACTTTTTTTCTTCATTTATCAAAAATTGCAAGAGTTTTGTTTTCATATTGAACTGGCTAAAGAGACACAGTTTACATCGCTTTGGATCATACTGCACATGAACATGAACTCCTAGCTCTGCTTCAGCACAGAATGCACAACTGTGCAGCTGGTGTCCCATCTTACCTTAACACTGCCTCTCTTATGTAAGGAATTTTGATGGGAGTTGAAATATCAACTAGGATTTCTTATATAAATAAAGCAATGCATAGTGTTTCTCTGCCATACTTCTCTCTAGGATCTTAGATTTTCTAACTCATTTCCACATTTCTTTCATGTAACACCAGGTATCAGTACTCACTTCCTTGCAGGAATCCCATGCCTACTGACAGAATAAGAAGAAATCTTGACATCCCATTGAAAGTACCATGTGAAAGTAGCACTGCACGAAAGACTAGAGAACTAAATGAAACTTGTCTGCTAACAAAGAGCCAAAAGAAAAGTAAAAAAAATAGTATTTGCTTGAAGCTGAAAATGTGCTTTACAATGGAGCAGAAAAACCTGGACAAATATTTACCAGAGCTGTTAAGATAACACTTCAAGGTGTTATCATGAGCAGGGAATTGAGAGTGCCTGAGCAAAAGCTATGACGTAGGCAAATTTTATTCTAATTCTTCATTCTAGAGACCAGTCATTTTTAAACATGAAGGAGAAAACCTTGTGTGTTAGTACTGTATATTAATGTGAAGCTAACACTGTACACATGCTCTATACTCCTATAGCATGGATGAACAGATTTTGTTACTCTGGAGAACAATGACTTCATATAGTCAGTTTCTTGGAGGAACAGTCATTTTCTACCAAGAGATGATACACCTGTCAGGATCATCCTGGAAACCTCTTGCGTAAACCTGTTCACTCTTGTTATCCCAGCAGGGTGACTGTTAGAAGAATGGATTCCTCCATTCTTCACATATGTCTCTCGTGACACTTGTCAGAGAGCATATACTCTACCGCCAGGTCTGCAAGCATTGCAAGTACAATCTGGCATGAGGAATCAAGGAAGTTTCTCTATATGACCCAAACTTCAACACTCTTTAAAATGCTGAAAGGCAACAAGGGACTACAAACAGGATGAAGAATAAAAGATAACTATGACACAGTTACAATAAGTTAAATGAACTGCCAGAGATGCCTCCTGCTATTAAGTGATTTAAAGACTTGAACATGTAAGTAAATAGCTATGGGGTTCAGATAATAAAATAAAATAATAATTCTGTGTCCTTTTTTCTTTTTTGCAAAATTTTACACATACTGGCAAGTATCGCTTCCTAACATAAGTAAGGAATGTAATTTGAATCCCTATTATACAGAAAAAGAAACAAAGCAAAAAGGCTATCCATGTCACACAACACAGCTATAAGAAAAAGCAAGTGTTCTGACAAATTTTCCATATTAATGATAGAGACACTGTCTGTCTGAAAATGTAAAGACAAAGATGCTTAAGAAAAGAGAAGTACCATCTTTGTGGTATGCAACAATTGCCAACAGTCAATTCAAACAGTCTTCCTATTCTCCTACTATATCATGCTCATATATTTTAGATTTTATATCATTCTATTTAGCAGCATATTTACTCGAATACTGAATATTCTGTCATTTTCTGCCATTAAAGCCATCTATTCCCATGTGGAACCAAAATCAGTATTTCTAATAAACACTTACAATGATTCCATATCAAGAAATTAAATTGAAAGAAGAGAAAAATCAACTTTGTTTTGAAATCTGATCTTTTAAAGAACAGTAAACCCCACTCCCAACAAGTTTTAGATTGGTTATTAGAAAAAATTTCTTCACCTAAAGGAATGTCAAGCACTGGAACAGGCTGCTCAGGGAAGTGCTTGAGTCACCATTCCTGGAGGTATTTAAAAGATGTGTAGATGAGTTCTTAGGGACATGATTTCATGGTGGACTTGGCAGTGCTAAGTTAATGGTTGGTCTAGACGATCCTACAGGTCTTTTCCAACCTAAACAATTCCACGATTCTATGAAATAAACATACTTTCCCATATAAATGCCATGTTAATCTACATCTTTTTATTTGCAAGTGTAAACTAAAAGAGTATAAAGCTATGAGATGCATTATTCTCAGGGCCAAGTTGGCTCCTGTATCAACTATAGGATTAGGCTATAGCTGTAACTTTGGCTTAGCAGTATTTTTATGTATTATATCAATATCTCTTAACACCTGAAAATATTTATCTTTTTCAAGGGACGTTCATTAAACTAACTCTCCTTCTAGTAGACAAAAATGGCATGTGATATATCGATTTATTTATGTTCTAATATGGAGCCAATCATTATGAGTATCACTTCTAACATTTACTGTGACAGGGAGAAAGTTCACCTTAATACTTAATATACATAATACGCTATCTGTGTGCTAGGCCACATAATAGGAGCAAACACCAACAAAGTGTCAGGCTCAACCACGTGCAGGCGATTTTCAGTGATATTTATATCCTTGATAACTTGGTTTCCTGAGCTTTAGAGCATTAGTTCAGTTCAGTTCCTGTTTCAGCTGAAAAAGCTCTGATACTAGTTTGTAATGCTTGTGATAGGAAACATGTGTTGGAGATCTAACTAGACCAGGTTCAAAATGCACAGAGTTGAAAACATTTGGTGGATAGGCAGAATCTTTCCATAAATTTTGTTTCTTGGTGGTCTTGCTAGGATGAGGTGGGGAACTGGACTACTGATGAACTTCCTGCCTTGCTATTTAGTCAACACAGAATTGAAAATTCACCACAGACCAAACTAGACAAACTGATAAATGCAGGAAACAACCTACCTAGTACCAAAGAGAACAGTACCATGATGGCACATGTAAAAGATGAATGCTTCTGTTGTGGAAAAATGTTCACTGCTGTTATTTTACCTTATTTTTACCTTAGGTTTGTTAGTATTTAGTATAGATAGCTAAGTATTTATAGGGGAAATTGCAGCCCACAGACTAGCTATTTTCCTTTGCTGAATTATCTGTCAAATAATATTTTGTCCTCGGTATTGTGAAATTTTTAGTAGAGTATGTTACTCACTTTCCTCTTCTGCTTGCTTATTAAGTGAAGACTTTTTTTTTTTTTTTAAATCTCCAAATCTAAGAATGTTTTCGTATGATATTTCCATCCCAACAAATAATCATTTCATGGTGCTCCCTGCTCCATTCCAGGAAAACCTGTTTTCTGGCCAAGACATGAAAATCAGCCTTAGAAGGTAAGTGGAATGAAGAGAGATCATTCACTCTCTTACTGCAGGGTGAATCTGTGAATAAATATGTATTTCAAAGATTTACAAGTAACTCCTACATTTCAAATATAATCAGCAGGTATTCTATTCTTCTGCAAATTGAATGAATCTTTAAGTTCACAATTGTTTCATTTTAATGAAGATTGATCTTCAAGAGGCAACAGAATCAAAGGATGTCATTGATTGTCTCAAAGTAATGTGCATGTTATCTTAATCAAAAATTTTAATACGAACAAATCCGTTATTATGAGCTTGGACAAGACTTATTTATACTCTTTCTCATATGTACTCATGTAATAGCTGTCTGCTAGATCTCTGTCTCTCAGTTTTTGGAAATTCTAGTGCCAAGGAACATTTTCCGAAGCTCTTCCACTCCTTTTAGTACTCTGAACTTGGTAAGCAACAGATGTATTACTCTACCATCAGGCAGATATGTGATTTTCACATTCATTATTGATAGAATGCTGATGACTGAATCTCTGCCTTGCAAAACAGTTGTTAAAAAAAATCAAAAACAAAACACAGCACTAAAACAACATTAAGATAGGTTGCAATGTTCCATGCCACATGAACCTACTCAGAGAAGAAATGTAGATTAATTGCCACATCAGAATGTGGGTATCACTCATAGCTGAAATAAAATTTTCTCTAGTTAGTTAAGTATTAACTTCCCAGTGTTATCTCCTCAATAAAGTCAAACAAGGCAAGCTATAAGCATTATTTATCAAGACATTTTACAGAGTTTTTCATCACTAATATGTACCTGTCAGTATGTAGATCTGGCTTTAGAAGCATGGACTTGAGATACTCTCTTCTTACATGATTATTTGCCTTATCCACATATATCACTGCAAAGCAAATCAGAATGAATATAAATAGTTATCAATTATTTTTCATCTTTTAGAAGAAAAAGCATGAAGAACAAAGAAAAATAAACATTTATTTCTCTTGTCTTCCATAAGGAAAAGTAACAATGTTGGAATCAAATTTGAAAGGTCATGTGATCTAATGGTGTGTCACTGGCAGGTTTATATGCACACTGTCAAAAAAGATCCAAACAGCATCTAAGCATTCCACATAGCTGTCATTTTCTGTTAATGGCAATAGTAGTCATGATTTTAAAAGCCAGTGGTCTTTATTGCTTTGTATTTGAAGTGATTTACTATATTTTCTTCCACCAAGGAAGCTAGTGATAATGATAACGTATGGCAGAGTGCTTGTCCTTTTTGACAGCCTCAGTAATTTAATCCGCCTTTCCTGCCACAATATTTCAATAAAAGAAACATCTAGACCAAGGGAATGGACAAAATCCACAGCCTGGAGAGTGTGAGTGCTATGAGAACCTTCTATTGTTTTAATTTACAACACAAACACAAGGACCAGCTTTTAATTTTTGTACCAATAATGTGACCTACAGTGAAAAATAACCTTGGCTTGGAAAAAACAATAAAAGAATGTGAAACAGGGTTTTAGGAAATTCTTTAAGAAGCTTTTGGGCACCTTATATTAAGCAAGTAGCTGCTTTCTTGCAAGTGGTATCCGACTACAAGTATCAGTAAACTACTGTGAAAGATTATAAAAATTTAGGGTGTGAAAATTGAAAAGCAGTGTTAAAGGAATTACTTCTTTTTTTTTTTTTTTTTTTTTTTTAAAGTAAGAAACACAGCTGAAAAAATTTTGCTAGGACAGAACTAGAATGAATATAACCCTCTGGGAAACAAACATAGCTCTTAGAAACATTTTTAGCTTGTTTTTGAGGGCAGGAGGAGGAGCTAGAAATTTGTCTGTTTTTAAATTCCAACACCTTTTATATTCAGTCTCTTCTAGTTACTCTCCCACTGTACTCAAAAAAACCCTTTTCACTCTCTACATCACATTAAGGTTTCCTTTCCATCCGTATGTGCTGACAGAAATATTTAACGTATTTCACACTGCTACCATCCAAAACAGACTTATTTGTATAAACAGAAATTACCAGCTCTATCAAGGAGCACAGAGTATTGGAATACATAAGTATGAAAGACAGATAAGCAGGCTCAAATGAATCCCTTGCAGAGGGATTTATTGAGGGACACATCTCTATAACAGTCCTTCTAGGAAGCACACCTTCCAGAGCTACTGGTTCTCCAGTTTTCTCCAAAGCTGCTCCTCAGCTCTTACCTGGCCAGCAGAATCACTATTAGAAATCAGTTACTTCTAGAAAACAGTACAGTTGGTCTCTGAATCATTCAATCAAAGGAATCTGCCCTTTAACACCTTTTTCTCAACTAACAGAAAGAAAAGCATTGTGCTTTATTTTGGAATCCTTAGGTTCCACCAACAATAGTCTTACTTTCTTAGACAGGTTAAAAGAAGATGTTACTGCCATCTGATATTCTTTTGGGCATGTGGATGACTTTGCACATGTGCTACTCTCATGGCCAAGTGCTCCTGGGGCCACCACAGGAAGTGATGGGGAGGCAGCAGGGAGACAGATGGACAGCCAAAGAACTTCAAAGGAGCTGCCACATCAACAGATTCTTCCCTTTCCCATAAGCATTCCAAATGGAATTTCCTCAGTTTACTAATTCTGTATCTAAAACCATTTAAAATGGAAATTATTTACAAACCTAAAGAGTTCAAATTAATTCCACTCAATGGAAAAATTCAGACTAGCAAGTAAAACATTCAGCACAAGAACATCATTCAAGTCTGGGGAAAATGATTAACCGCAATGAAAATATATTTTTAGATCCTGATGACTAACATGCTTTCATATCACCCCTTAGTACTGCCTGAACTTTGAATTATAACAAGGCTCCAAGGCATGGAACATCTCATATTTCTATCCAATTAATTGCAAAAATAATTGAAATTAACTTGTGACAGTTTACATCTAAAATGATAATTTTAAAGTTTGTCCTAAAGAAGCACCAAAACCTGAAGATTACAGGGACCCTGAAACCTCATTAAAAATCACTGCAATTCCAAACATTAACATAGCTAGTTGTATTATAGCATTTGTTTTTTCATAGTTCACATTCTAACAAAACGAAATGACCATGTGTTGAAGCAGAGTATCGTCACAGTGATGAAGAAAAAACACCTCACTATGTTGAGCTTTAATGGAGAAAAGGAATAAATACAAAGAAGTGTAACAGTGTTTTCTGATGCAAGGTCTTAATGTTTTCATTTGAACTGTACTGAGGAATCCACCTTTGAGAAAATGGATCTTCAGAAGTTTATTTATAACAAAAAATAAACCCCATCATCTTTTCTTCACTTCCTCTTCCTTTGGTCTACTTACACTTGTACTTCAAGTTGTTTAAATAACCACCTGTTCACTCAAGAGAGAAAGTTTTCTGATTAAATGTCAGATTAAATCTTTGTAAAATTTTGTAAATCTTTCTCTATTTCTGCTGCCTGTTCTCTAGAACCATTATATACTGTGACACATTTCGGAGCTTCTACCAATCTTACTTTCTAGTAACTTTCTTGTCATCTCGGCATCTTCATAGTTAAGTCTTCATATTTAATAAAATATCAATGCTTTTTGTTAACGTTTATGAATTAATCTTAGCTTTGTAATTTAAGTAATTATGGCCTTGACAAGAAAAATATTTATTTTACTGAAATTGAGTCAAATATCAATAGATGCATTTATATGCAATGAAGACTGGGCTGTTTGCTTGAAGCAACATGCTTCCCTGTGTTTTTCTGACAGTGAAGCTGACATTATATTCACTTAAAAGCATATACTGTGACATGACTGGAAATAAATAATTTCTGGCACGCAATTATAAGCTGCATTAAAAAGTTAAAATATGAATTCACTGCTTAGTATGATCTGTAACACATCCTAACATCAAAACCAAACCCTACCAAAACAAACCTCATCAAAAAATCAGAGTCCTTCCTTTTTACCAAATTGTAGGATAAAGTCATGGTGTGAAAACAATTTGGCAAGTTCCACTCTTTGAATGTACCTGTAGTGTTTGGAAGCATTCCTTGATATTCTAATAACAATTTTCACCACTGTTGAACACAACAGCTCCTCTCATCTGTCAGTATGGCCATCAGTAAATATGACACCTAATGTCATAGGAAATCAAAAGTTATGTGGTATAACCTTAGAGTGTATAAGCCTTCCATTCAGGTTTCTCTTCCAAGACCTTGGAAGAAATAAAATGATCTTCTAGTCAAAAAGTCATAGTCAAAATAAACAATTAATGTCAAGTTACAAGCTCTAACCACTTGTGAACAGGGAAATTCATAGGATTTTGACTGTCCAGATCAATGGACTTCTACTATATTGTTTTTCAACAAGATTCCATTAATCTTCTGGTATCTTACATGTCAAGCAATGACAGCAAAGGATGTGCACAAGGTATGAAAAAACTTCAAATGTATTTTAAGCAATGAATCTCGTGGAGCCTTCTGTATCAGTTAACCTGGTTTTAAAACAGTCAAGCTGTTCCAGTTACAAATAATAAAAAATGTTTTATTTATAAGGATTAATGATTTTTTAGATTACTTACAGACTTACCCTGATTTTCTCATGCAAAAGTCTAGAAGAGTCTTAGTTTCCTTCTAAGCTCAAAGTAAATCTCTTTCTACCCATGCAAATCTAATTTTTATTAAAGAAAATATTCAATTAACCTCAAATATTCAACATACTCAAATCTAATTAGGCATGACTAAGAGATATAGTAAAGCTATAGTAAACACACATGCAGGTTTCATTACTATTACCTTACTGACTTTCCAATTGACGTTATCAAAAAGCAGACTCATTAAGTTTTTTCCCTCTATATGCAAAGCTAATCTTGAGTATAAATTAGATGACCAATTATCTAAGCAAAACTCTGCAAATAACAACCATAATAGTATTATGGTGCAGTACACAGTCCTGAAGCAATTAAGATCAAAATCATCTTCCAATATCAATTCATTAGGATATTTTAAACAGTTCTATATTCGATACTGAAGCAGCAAATAGAAAAATCAAAGTTATGGAGCCAGGTTTTGACGAGCAGAAATAATATGATACAGCAACATCAGATTGGAAAGCCTTATGAATTACAGTTTCTACAAAGCATGTTACTATTTTCAAATATCACAGCTTGAAATATATTTAACTTTCATAATTGTCTTAAGAGTCTGAAATTTCATTCTGTATTCATCATAACATTGCTGCGTTTTACTAGTTTAACTTTGCAGAGTCAATAGTTAAAAAACTTATATTATGCTTAGACCATACCAAATATACAGAGGAATCAGAATATTGTGTAACAATTTTTACACCTTCAGAATGCTTCTTATATTCAAAGCAATGAGAATTCAAGAAGCAAGAGAAAGGAAAAGTGTTAAATAGCTTTTATTGGCTTATGGTATTATTACAATGAGGTTTCAGAAAATTTATTTCAATTATGTCTGTCTAGAACATTTGGAAAGTGTTTACAGTAGCTAGCAAGATGAATACTGTTCAGCTTATAAAAAGTTCTTACTTATCTGATGTCTCATTTAGTATGTGACACCAGAAATCTAATTTTTTGAATGGAAGTAAGCCTCAGTGAATGAAAGAGTTTGAAGTGCTATTAATATTTGTAGTTTAGTTTTGTTTTTTTCCTAAAGCCTTACAAGGATTACTGTCTTTCTCAGAGTCACAGTAGTTAACACACTGTGCCCCATCTTCTACATTCTCTCTCAAATGGGCAGTAGCACCACAGTGATGGTTGATGTGACATCTAAGGGGGATTTCAGTCTTCAACTATGGTGTAAATCCAATAGTTTACAAGTATTAGGAAGATATGAGTAAATTCTTTGGCAAGTCTCCTTCTAAAATCAGGTTTCTAGATGGTAGCAATTTTGAAGATCTGACCGTGACACCACTTTTGCAAAGCCACTTTTACAAAACTATTTTTAAAAGAATGCTTAATTTGAATGTCTTTATTAATGGTGTGCCACACATAGCAAACTGATTAACCTGCTCGAGGATATTCTCAGCTAAAAATACAATAAAGTCCAAGTCAACATAAAGCACTCGGACTTAACCTCAAATAAAATAGACTTTAACAGAAAAAAGAAGTTGATGAATAATTGAAATACTATGAAATAGCTGGGAAAATAATTAAGAGAATTATCAATTATTATAATAGCTATGTGTATGCTATTAGTGTAAATTAGACTGTGTATTGACATCAAGTATTTTCAAGTGTTCATTTATTAGAGAATAGCATATGGAACATGCAGGATTAAGTATTATGAAGTACATAGTAAAGTATTAGTACTAAACATGGCTGAATAAATTCCTATTTCAAAAACTTCTTACAAAAGAAACACTGAATATTCATAAGTGATGATCAAGTCCAATTACATATTTTCACTTTTCACCTGTATTTTAGTTGTACATGATTACATGGAATATTTTTCTTTTACTGTATCATCACGCAACAATAGAAAAATCAGTTCATCATGTTCTTTTTACAAGAATACATAAATTTTAGTTATGTATACCCTAATTTTAACATTTATGTGCTAGCAGCATATTTAAATGTATCGTAATGTTACTGTTTCATACACAAGCCTACTTCAATAATTCATTTTATATGCGATAATTGCATCCTTACCTCATTTCTTAAAAATCACCTTTAATATTTCCTGCCAAATTGGGGAAATAGACACTCAGTACACAGACAAATGCAATTATAATATATACAGGAAGAAGACTTTATTAGTAGACATTTTCATAAGACAGAATTTAAGAGAAGAAACACGCCTGCTCAGGAATACATCATACTTACCACTGCTATAGTTATAGTGAATTCTCTGACCACTTGTTGGTTTTGGAAGTGACAGTGGGGTCTCTTCTGCAAGGAAATTGTATAATCTGCATTCTACAAACAGCTGCTGTATTGTTTCATCTGATGTAATTTGTGACTCAGTAAGACCGAGTGATATAATTTCAATCCGGATTTTTTCAGTTGCCTATTTAAAAACAAAGCACAAACATAATACAAATTATTTTGTGTTTCTTGAAGTGTTGCCCAAAACAAACATACATGTAAATCATTGGCTATTTCATATGATTAACACTGATTGATTGATTTTGACAGAGACACAATGAGATTCTAAAGCCCCAGGGTTTGTAGCTAAAAATATTGTAACAGATACTGATTTACATTTGGTGTTGAAAATATTTTTGCAATAGTCATACTCTTCTGGAGAAGATTAGGTTAAGGTTATCTTCATGTACAAATGATACCTGAAACACAAACTTCAGTTGCCATTATTTTTAGCTATACAGCAAAGTGATTTGTATCTTGATCCTGTAACTGCTTGAAATAGTCTCAGTAATATTAGGTACCAAAGTTTTCCAAATGAAAGAGAATTGCTACTCAGTGCCTACTGCAGATGGTACTACAAATAGTTCAATAAAAAGCCATCAAGTCACAAAGCAGTTAGGCATGTAAAGTAACACACTATTTATATGGAATTCAATTTCATATACATTTGAAAGTTAAAATTAACAATATGATAACAGAAGTAATATCCCAATTGTTCTTCAGCAGAGCCTTTTCTTATCTTTAACTAAAATGACATTTTTCTGTTGCTTGTATGAAACTGTTTCATACTATTCGACAAAGTCTGTATTATTTACGTATGGACAAATTTTAATAAGCTTTATGTATCTAAACAGGAATGTGAAACTCAATAGAGAGAGTCACAAATATTTTCCTAAGTAATGCTGTAATTCAAAGAAAGAAAATCCAGTATGGTTTCAAAATTGGGCTACATAGGTGAGCATTCAAAGATGAGATTCTTCAAAGAGCAAACAGAACAACTTGGAGTTCAAAAATGTGAAAAAAAAATTTTTTTTATTAATTTTCTTTTCAAGTTCGTAACTTTATAAAAAATATTTCCCCTATATGGAAATATTTTGACAACTTTCGACTGTAAACTGAAATCACTTGAAGTAACAATATTTAAAAGATTAGCCTTCTAGATTCAGTGTTAGAACTGTAAGTCAAGATTCTAATTTATTATGGAGATATCTTATATTTTTCCAAGAAAATTATCTAATTAATCAAACTAAAACCCAGGTGTATCCTATTGTAAAGATATCTATCATATAGAACAATTTCCATTGCTGTCAAGCCCTTTCAATATTTGATGAAGTAATTTTACCCCCTCCTTTCAAAAGACATTTCCCTTTTATTATGTATCCTAAGATACTTTAACTAAAAACCTAAATCTGAATATTTCAATAAGGTTGTTTTATTATTCAGTAGATTCATGGAAATTTTACTAGGATGACAGAGAAAATTCCACACCATTCTGTCTCCACTAATACAGGTACACGGCTTCAGCTGGCAATATTACTGGGATTAGCATAGAATGATGAAATATTTAAAGGAAAATTTTTTCCTAAAAATCTAATAAATCAAATGACTGCCAAATGTCATTAAAGTGATGGTCTTTGACTTGAATATGCTTTTCATATTCAAATTTGAAAAGAAAGAGATGAAAGCCTGGAAAGGTTACTCAGTTTCAACTAATAACCTCAAGCACTCTACATTCACATGCATAAAAAATTAAATTGGCTCTATTGTCTAATTTTACTTCAGAAACAACTCTTTTCTTCTTGCACTGAACAGATGTATTAGCATCTGTATTTAAAGTGATATGCTGAGTGGTTTTGTTTGCCCCAAAGTATTTAGCAGCTATGTCAGACTAGTTTGTACACAGACAGTAGTTTATGAATCAAGTCCAAATACAATATCCCATATTATAAAGTCTGCCTTTTACGCATCTTAAAATTTGTTTGACATATTTAACACTTGTAATTGCATACTGTAGACAAAGAATATTACAGTTTTTTAAGAATATCAGGGTAAATCCAGGTGTTCTGCTTTTTAACTTATAGGGAAGCAAGTAACTAAGTAATACTACTAGAAAATTTCAAGAAAAAAATAGTTACTTTAGATCTTAACAGTCAAGAATATTTTAAGGCCTGCTTTCGTTAATATTAAACATGAATATAGCATATGCAAAGGAGAACATAAACTGATTAAAAAAAATACGTTTACAAATAAAAAAAATATAGATCTGATTAAGAACAGCATAGCTAGCATATTTCACTACCAATACAAAACTGCTCATATTAGGTAGACATGCTGAAAAGATATGTAGCATCCAATATATGAAAAGAATTCATTTTAAACAACCATTTATATTTCTATGATGCAGAGTGAGGTTTATTATTTAAATCTTTTCCTAAGTTGTTGGGTGTTTTAAGCCTTGGTCTCCTTTATTAGATACCATCCAAGTGAAAAATGGCTAGTTTGTCATGACAAACTACTTCCTATAAACGCTTCTGCTTTGATGGGAATAAAATTAGTCTTTAAATTTAGTAGTTAGTGTAAAATATAATATGAAATTTCCTCTAACAGAGAGACTGGACACACATAGTAAAGAATGCTAAATGCTTTCAAAGATCGTCTCTGAGAAACTGGTTCAGTACTTTCATTTCAAGTGAGGAAAACAAAACATGGGCAAGATACTTAGTCTATGTCAATATTCTTTCTTTACTATTTAATATTGACTCTTTGTAATTAACACTACCAAGAGATTTCGAAGAATCACTGAACTTCTTCAACAAGCTTTACGATTAGGTTAAGTACTAATTGCATTGGACATTACATCAGAATTTGAAGTCTCAATGTAACTTTGCTCATCTTTCTGATTTCTAAGAGTAAAAAAAGCTTTATTTAAATCCATAAAAAGTTTTGAATGCCATCTTCAAGAAGCTGTATATTCCATATTTCAATTTTCTTTTAGGTCACAATAAAATGCTAAGACTTGGATGTGAATAATAAAATTCCAATAGACTCAAATAGTCCACAATAATATCCCACAGAATGAAGTGCTTTACAAAAAAAAGTATTTGTGCTTTCTGCACAGAACAGCAGTACTAAAAATTCATTGCTTATAGGAACAATGTAAATAATGTTCATATTTTTTACATCCACAGTTTTAACTAATACATTGGCCTTGAAAAACTCAAAATAAATGAAATTTCTTAGCCATAAGATGAACTTGAATGCTATATTTACAAATGCTCAAAAATATTTTAGTCCTTAATATTTTATGCATTTATTTCCACAGTCTACTTACTTGTTCCCTTCTATTTCAAGCAGAGAGCACATCAGATATGAGCTATTGTCCAATAATCACGAGTAATCATCCCTTTGCTACCAATACGTCAATCACTATCAATATTACTCAACTGACAAATATATTTACTGAATGAGAAATCATCCTCTTGCTCTGTCAAGCGTCAAATTCCTGTAATCATCCTATTAACAATGTCAGAACAGAGCTGCAAATGAATGCTATCACAGGAATGTCAATCTAATTCTACTGTCTACACAAACATTACTCATTAAGTAATTATGATTAACAGGTCAACATCTAACATATACACAGAAAAATATATATTACAAAAAATTATTATAATCCTTAACTGTAGGCAGTGACTTTTTGTGTTAGGAACAAGATCTTCTATTTTCAGATTTTCCCCACAATGATGTAGATGTGAGAACAGAAAAAGGGATACAGAAATGCTCCCTCTTCCCTCTCCAAATGGACTTACAAAAGTGCATGCACTTTAGACTCTTCCTAAGGCCTGAGGCAAAGAGATCTCTCCTTGTTCAGTAGCTCTTTTGGTGTTGGATTTACTGTAAAGGAGGGAAAGGCACATATAATGTCCCCTCAGCATCACTGGTTTTGCCATGTGAAGAAGAATGAAGTGCCAAACAGTTAGTACCATAATAAGGTTCAGTGCAAACCCTTCAGCTCTATCTAGAACACACTGAACAAAAAAAGCTATTTGTGACAATGAGTACATCTCTGGTTGCTGCCATTTTATCTAGTGCAGACTCCAAATTCACCATTTTCACTGCACGAATTCATCTTTAATATCTTCAAAGGCATGAATTACTTCCTACAGCTTGAGACATTTCAATGATTAGATATTGCCTCTTCTATGCAAATCCATAACATACCATCAACATATTGATTTTTTTTCAGAATAGACAATTTCTAATTTATTGTAAAAAATACTAAGTTCTTGAGAGATGTGAAGCTTTCCCACCATAACCGCGTCAACTATACATCTGAACTTCGAGTTGCATTTGCAATTTGCTCATAACTTTTGATCACTTGAATAAAATACTCTCTTCCCTTCAAATGGCTTGCCTCCCCCACCCTTTCTGAAGAATAAACATAAAATTGTTTCAATATTTCTCCTGAAGTTGAATTGTTTTTAAGGATTTGGTTTTCCAACGTGCAGGTGGCACCAACTAAGAGCTTTTAAAGATAAACTGTTTCTTGGGATGAATAAATACAAAAAAGCAGAAATATCTGGAGCTGTTTGACTGGTGAGATAGAAACTTTCTTAACTCTTGAGTTTTATTTCCTCCCCAAGAAGTAGGGAAGGCTACATAAGCAATATTGTTACAGTCCTGAACTAAGCTATACCCATCACTACTGCAGGCTATCTCCAACAGGAGTATTAATTTATTTTTAGTGTTTAAATACTCACCATTGATTATACCACCAGATAAAATAAAAAAAAAAACCCAAACAACTTTGTCAAATCTCAAAGCCAGTTAGCTACATCAGTACCAACTATTCACACAGTTAAGTAATTCAAATGCTCTGTAAACTTACAATTGCCCTTCATTTCAACAGGAAGTACAATCCTTAAGTAAATAAACATAAAATAAAATTTATTGATAAAAAGAGGTCTTACTCTCTATATTTTCAGTATGCTAATACATGTCAGCATGTAAGTTACAGAAATAATATGAAATAAATATCAGTATTATGTAAAAAACTAAACAAAGAAATATAATGGGATTTCTGCTTTTGTATATATCTATGCATGTATTTTTCTATATGTAGATCTTAGACTAATGGTTTAATTTAAAAAACAAATTAAACTTTAAAACCCCTGTATTTGAAAGATAAACCATTTAGAAAAAAAACCCTTACTATGGGTAAAAAGCATCAGTATAGCATTTTAATTTGTTAAGATTGCATCTGTAGTGAAAAAAATACATCAAATTGCACATTTTAACTACAGCTGTTATTTTTACTTAGAGCTTTAATACTTAAAATTTGATACTGTGTCTTACCCCCACCCAATTACAGTATTGTGTGAGGATAATATAAACATGCAAAATTGAATGGAATTTGATTCTTTCTCATATTAACCACAGTGTGAAAAAAATTATGCATATATATATTGCAGCTAAATATACTGCAGCTATATATATTGCAGCTTATCAAAACTCAAATTTAGTTTCAAATCCCATCCTTTGCTCTTTAGACCTCCAGTTAGATAAGTACTCCTTTCTACTTGTAAAGTCATCATAAGTTACTTCCATGTCAATGAGCTCTGATAAATATATCAGAGTAAGCAACTGAAGAGCATTCATATTCATAACCAGAAAAAATATTACCAGCTAGGTTAAAAATGGCTCCTGTTGATACTTTTCCTGTGGGCTTATGCATTCAGTCTTAAATCTGACTTTCTACTTAATTTAATATTCTGACTAATTATTTTGTTACCTAAAAAGTAATGGGTTACTTAATGACTTACATTTCTGTTGTTTTGCATCATTTTAAAATCTGGTGTTTGGGGGTATTTTTGGTATTATTTTTCCCCTCCTCTTTCAGTTCTCAGATCAAGAAGAATGACATGTAGTACATGTTTCTAATTATTACTTCAAAGCATATTTGACAAGTGCTAGAATTTATAAATCCATCATTTCAGTGTACTGTCTATTCAAACTGCCGTCATCTCATACTTTAAGATAACTTAGGTCTTTCCTGGATTCTTCAAACTTCCTCTCTTTTGCTTTAGTTCCTGTCTAATAGTAACCATAATAGCAAACAACCACCTTAAAGATGGAGAATTGCAAATGCTCCTTTTCAATATTAGACTCATCAGTAGTCTTTGAAAATGCTGACTATAAAGCTTTAATATGTTACTTTTATCTTACTCTGATAAGATAGTTCTGTTTCATGAATTTTATTTCTTGTTTCACTAAATATGCTGGTGCAGCAGTTTTACTTCCCCAATTTCTTATAGAAGAAAAGCACAAAGCAACTAAGGTTAGATCTAGAGAACACTAAGAGAATACAAAGGATTAGTACTTCTGGCACAGTAAAATCAAGCCAAATCAGCAACACAGGATAATACTAAAACCATAAAATTTTAGTTTTCTAAATTCAGAATAGATATTCCCAGAATACGCCAGTTTAAAAAATAGCATTCAGCACTCAGAAATCTCCCTGAAGTATACCAAAGGCACTCAAATCCTGCAGAAAACAAATGTAAAGAAAAATCAAGTCAGCCAAAATTCAACAATACAATATAATGTCTAAATGATTTTCTCTTATTTCAATGAATGCGGGCATCTCATAGGAAGAATTGTACTGTTCAAGTAATTATACAAAAGGCATAAAAAAAGAGGAAAAGTATTTATTGCTTTGCTATACATAAACTTATGCAACTTTATCTTCCCACCTATGCAGAAATATGTTTCATTGACCAGCAGAATCACAAGCAACTGGTATTGCTTTTTAACAGTGTTTAAGAGAGATTTTCATGTCTAAATTAATTAGACCCTGAGATCTTAATTTACAGGAACTGATAATGACAGTTTTCAATAAACTGCTGTTAGCAGAAGATAATGCACTCACGGTATCTGCAACAAAAAAAGAGAGATGTAAACACACCTATAGAAAAAATGGGACCACCACCAAATAAATTGGTTTTGTCAGTAATTGCTTTATGGGCACATTTTTAGACAACTTGGAGGCTGACAGCAGTAAATTTTATTGTGATAATTGAACACTGTATTATCTCCTGTAAGGATAAAGTGTAGACATGGGGGTGAAAGGGAGGAGGGGATGGAAGAGAAAAGGTTTTTGGTTTTGTTTTTTTTTTTAAATATATTTTTTTTAAATATAAAGACCATGCCAAAGAAAATGCAAATTCCCAGTTTTGATGTCTATTTTGAGGATCTGAAACAAGGCTTTTAATCAATGTATTATACATCAAATTGATAATGTTAACTTCTGATTATTCAAATGTATGAAATATTCATAGAGAACTGTCCAAACTTTTACATTTCTCAGACTTCTTTTCGCTATTAATTATCATGCCTGGAAGCTTTTTAGTAAAAGCAGCAGCCATCAGCCTGACTGAACCTGACAAGCTAGCAAGGCCCAATTACACTGGCACTCTGTGGCACTTTGATGTACTGGAAACGAAAAGAGATAGGGGCAAATTGTATAGCACATTATGTTAATGACTTGATTTAATCCAGCCACTAAACTTTATGTAGCCTGTTAAAAAAGATGCTAACACTAATTACGCCACTTTGGAAAGGAAAGAAGGGGACAAGCATTTCATACCGACAAAGTGAAGCTCATAAATGTTGTAAATGAAATGAAACAAAATGAAGTAATCTATGATTAATTATACATCATAGACAAGAAGAAAAGAGAAAGAAGCAAGTGGTACAGCTAAGTACTGGAAAATCTGTTAGATACCCTTTATGATCAACATATCTAAGAAATAACCATGAACTGTCTAATTTGCAACATGCAAAAAAGAAACAGTATGCTCCTAAATGGCTTAAACAGTTTGGCATACAACTCAGATTTATAGGATAATTAGCATAACGATCTCTAAAAATCACAAGTCTTATTTACAGTGTCTGATTACCAGCAGGATATTTATCTCAAAAGATAAAAGGCAGTGATTTTTAATCTTAAAAAAAAATACAAATTCAATCACAATTTTCACGTGCTCCATTCTATCATTAACCCAAGATTTCAAATATACCATTGCCTATTTTTAAAATCCAATTTGTATGAAACATGTTGCCTTAATAGTTTATAGCTTTAGTTATCTACCCTTCTTGAACGTGCACTTTATTACCAGAAGAAAAGATCAATAGAGAGAGGTAGAAATTAATGAACCTGAAATTAATTTACACTCAAAATCCCCGAAGATGTGTTCTTGAATAATTTTGATAAAATAGAATAGTTTGACTTAATGATGACGAGTAGCAGTCATTTTAGTTCTCAAAATTACAGGTGAAAATTTTCTAACATTTTACATATAAGCAATGCAGTTCTGTCTTTAAAAGTACCTTCTGTATCTTTCTGCAACTTGTCTAAGTGCTAGCATTTCCAAATCCCTTCTACCACTTAAAAAAAAAAAAAAAAAAGAAGCAATATTTCTTTTATGAAGTATTGCTTCTCGTTGCTAATTTCTTTCTAAGATGTCTTGAAAAAAGGATAAAAAAAATCACCAAACCCATTGAACTACCTCTAGGTTATCACACTGTAGAACATCAAAAAAACATTAAGACTGATAGGTTATAGAAATACATCCTTGGTCCTTTAAAATAATGCTAAGGCAGACCGGAGATGTATTAACTGTTCAAAGTATTATAATCAATTTTAAGAGCCAGTTTTATATTTTTTAAGATTGTTCAGTCAATGTTAGATCTAAAAACATGAGATATTCCTATTTTTTTAGAGAACTATACTATTGAAATACTGTTCAAAGAAAAGTTTCCAAATTTGTATTATTCTGTGCTATTTCATACTTAATGTTCATTAATTGCTGGTTTTAAGAACAAGGCAAGAGAATATCATTATCGTACATGCCCACGAATAATAACAGAAGTACACTGAAGTGATTGGATACCATACATGTACAAACTTCCTTGAAATCTGACGTTCAGTTCTAAAACTGTTGGGAAGTCAGGAACAAAAGGAAATCTATGTAGATGAACTAGAAAATATATGCAAGGTTGCAAGGTTTGCATGTTATTAACAACCTCAAGCTTATGCAATTGCCATTTCAACAACATTCAATCAAGTCAACACACTGGAATGAAACACAGTGAGTAGCTAAGCACTGTAGATTTACTACAGGCCTTGGCAAGTTAAATTATCCTCAGCTTCCTCAGAAAGCACTGGAAGAAGCCGAAAAGCACATTTTCCCACATAAAGGCAACAGGTAGGACTGAACAACAAGACTAAGTTCTTTAGACATTTGTATTACAATAGTTACCTTTCATTAAGGAGATTTTCATTAAGGACTAAAACTTGAATTCAGATTGGAACTAATTAGAAATGTCTACTTCTAAGTGTGTATGATGATAATGGAAAAGATGACATTAAAAAGACCTATAGATCACATGCAAGATAGTGACAGGAACAGTCAGGTTAACTTTTCTTTTTTGTTGTGGGAAGGTGTCTATTTCAACTGGAAACAGGAAAACATACACTCGTTGAAAATGCCTTAGAATCTGACCTTAGATATAGCAAAGATACTCTTCAAGGACATTAGACTTAATATATTTTTCTCTGACTTACCAAATAATTGCCATAAATACTCTGACTCACCTGTTTAATATTCTTGGATACTGGACTTGAAACAATACAGTCATCGCTGTCAGTTATTATTGATTCAATGGCATCCTCTTCTTGTCTATCATCTTGATCTGCAAAAAAAATAATAAATCAATGTAATTAAAAAACTCTGTATTTGTAATCCATCAGAGACTTGCTGAGAAACCTGATAGTAATATATTTGCTTCTCTAATAAATAAAGTGTAAGTGCCAGGTAATTCTTCTCTTCCTTGCAGAAGATTAACACTAGCAAATCAATGATCTTTAAAGTAATCTAAACTGTATTTTTTCCTAATTTGTTAAAAGACATAGTAATGTTTCATGGATGAAGGTTGATGAGAGGAATAATATAAGTCCTGTAATGAACTGAAGTATGAATAAGTTAGCTTTATAAAAGAATAGGGCCTGAATTTGTGGATTTCCTCTGACTATGTTTAACACCATGCACATGTAAAGATGAATGTATTTATTATTTTATTTTTTTTAACGTAGTTCTGTATGCAGGTGGATTATCTTCTAAAGCATCCAGGTCTTTTTTCTCTGGAGCAAATTACTCATAAACACAAGAGATTCAACATCATATTTTTCCAATTTTTCTAATCAATTCTTATGCAGAAGCTGCAAACAACTGAACATAAAATTTTAGCATCCTGCTTGTGCTTTTACTTTAAACTTGGTATCATGGGACTTGGTTTATTTCAGTGATAAACAGTTTAAGCTTGGAGGTGGAACAGGATGACCCGGCTTTTATAATCTTTAAATAAATCTGCCTCTAACAACTTTATGTCACAGATGTGATAAGACATACTACCCCTCTCACTGTCTGAAAGGATTTCCAGTATCAGCGTTGGCTGTTATCTGCAGACAAAAGGAGCATATTCATTAAAATAGTCTTCAGAACAGCATAGTTCTAAGGGAGAATATAAAGACATTTAAAATAGAAGCCAGGTTTCCTTTAATATTTTATGAATCTAGGTCAGACACCAGATTTTTGCATGCAATTACAATACAGTTTCCATTTGGGAAGAAAATAACACCACCATATCCACCACCCAGCTTCAGCTCTACAGTACACCAGAATATCATTTCTGTCATGAAACTTCTCATAATGAGGCAGCTCCCACTGCTAGTAAGAAATGCTTAAGAAAATGGAAAGAGACGTAGATTTATTAAGAAAATACAGTTACTTATTCATAAAAATGAATTCTACCTTCTGGTTCCAATTCTTCAGTTACTTCTGTCTCATCTCCAGAGGTAACTGAGCTTTGGTCGGCCAACTGCCCCTCTGAGAGATGCGAGAGGTCTTCTTTTTCCTGTTGAATTTCTTCAGCCATCTCCTTCACCTTATCATCTGCTAGCCTTTCTTGTTTAACCCCATGTACCACGTGCTATATAAAAACAGATAAACTTAGAGTCTTTATAACACTCTGTGAATAGTAAAAATTTACTAAAGTTCAAAACTTGAAGTCATGGCTCACATTCATTATACATAGCCTTTAAACAGTGATATTGCTTATGCAGAGCAGGAAACAATGAGAAGTTGTCAACCGCAGTAACAAATAATTGATACTGTAGAAAGATAATTCTCTAACAATGTATATTTGTGAAAACATAACTATTATAATCATTTGGTATCTGTCAACATATATACACCTTGTTAGATTTCCAGATTCATTTGTATTTCAGCTCTTTCAATTCTTCAAGGTTTAGTTCAAAAAACCCCTAACCAAACAACAAACCACCCCACCTTACTCAGTTGGCAATTTTATAACTTGAATTATACAGTGTCTCCTGTTTCAAAAGCAAAGTGAAATAATGTAAAAAAGAATCAGCCTTACTACAACATACAAACATGCTACCTAAGGTAAAATATCTTTAGTGCATAACTTAAGCTGAAGTAATCTTAATCCTTTCTTTCTCTTTTGATTACAATTACATAGAATAATACCTCATCCATAGATGTAACATTATAGATATAGCATCTTCCATGGAGATCTGCTGGAGACCTATGCATTATTTATTATTCAACAATTCTCCTCTAGGACTGAATTTCCCAGAGAGACACTGATGCTTCACCTCCCACACTCACAATCCATGAGATAACTTCCAGTTGTCCACAGAACATCTGGATTTTCCAAAACTGGACATGAAGAGTTATTTCTATTCTGACACATTTGGAACCACACAAAGCAAAGCTATGTTAGAAAACACTTAAGAGCCTTATTCTACAAATAAAGGTTATCCTTGAAGTTTTCAAGTTAGAGAAAACTGACTTTATATCTCTTATGCTCCTCCTTGGCATAGACGATGTGTCGTAACCACTGTGCTTTAGACAATCTTTGGCCATTCTTTTTAATTTCTTCAGTGACAGAGTTGTTCTTTGTGGATAAAATTCTCAGGGAGAGAATACTTCTTAATTATTCGACTTGACCAATACCACCCAATGTGGTGAAAAGGAGACATAACCTCTAAAGATCATCTGGGGCTTTGATTGAAAGTAGAAAAGTAGAAGGAACGTAAGAGCCAGTGATTAAATGTTGTGTTACACCACTAGAAATTACAGTTTGCCAATCTGCCACAACTTACTTTCACAACCAATTGGTTCATTACAAAGTACAATATTTAATACTTTTGTTCTCCTTGGAATGCTACATATTTAGCAATATTCCAAAGTTACTCCATTTCTTCTTCATTTCCTCCTGCTATATAAAGGTAAATTTTAGAGAAAAGACAAAATAAACTTCATCCAAACACAAAAGGAAATAAGTAGAGATAATCATGCCTTTCAAGTGACCAAAAAAAAGATGACTGTCATCACAAGGAGTAACTTTTTTCATATTTCAGAGAAGTTTTTGAGATCTTACTTTATCTGTACTTTGATTTTTGATGCATGACTCTGAAGAAATAACTTACACATGGAATTCAAATGCAATATATTATATAAAACTGCAAAACCTGAAAAATCTCATACCTTTGAAACAGTTGGAGCTCTTGAAGCCTTCATCTTCTGGGCAAGTTCCATGCTACTTCCAACAACAGAGCCCTAAGTTATGGGTAAAGTAAGAGGAAGCCTTTAATGTACAGTAGACAATTAACACACAAAAGTAGGTATAAATTTACCGATGGAGAAGCTTTGCACGGGAAATGGTGCCCTCTTTTGCTTCCCAGCATTAGCATAACTGCTTCTATTCTCTGCTATAGCTTCTACCTATGAGGCTTGACAATTCTTACTAATGGTTTGGAAAAGTCAAACCATTGAGCCCACTTCTTTGAGTCTCCTTTTCCGAAAACAACTATTTGCTTTGGCATATGTCACATCAATATTCATGAGCTAGATTTTCTGCTATTCAGAAAACAGAACAGGAAAATGAAACAATGTTCCTGTACAGTTTTAATTGGTTCAACTTCTAATTCTCTTGTATGTACACTTTTGCCATTTCACCACAAGATTTAGACATCAGAGATGCCCCAGCTGTTTCATTATTTAGTTCTAGTAGTACTTTTGTCTTGAACCAGACTGTGAGGTTTGGATTTTAAAACACTTAGGGGAGCTGCCAACCCAGTAACAAAGACTTCTGATGGAGACCAAGTAGCTGCCTCCCTTAGAAAATTCTAGTTCGTGAAAAAGTATTGAACTTTGAGAAGTTACTGTCTGGACAGCTGAAGGGGTGTGTGTGTGCATAACTACATGCTTAACATTTCATTTTTCCATATCTAAGCTCTCAAAAGATTTGGTTTCACTAACATGTGATTTTATTTTTTAACTTAATAAATTTAAGAAATTGACTTAATCCTTATTTTCAGTCTCCATTGTATGGCTCAAAATAAGGTTCTAGTCATGATAAACTAAATAGCAGAACCACCTGTGAATTGAAAAGTGATGTCAACATTTCAAAAAATAAATCCAATCAAGGCATTTACCAATGGAAAAAAATGATCACAACTAGTTTTTAATTAATTAATTAATGCAACATAGTATTATCAACTAATAATAATACTCATAACTTTTTATAATTAGCTGTTAAGGAATCCGCCTGAACTTACTGGATTTAATTAAAAGAGTAAATACAATCTATTCTTAGTTCTCTGAAGGCAGATAATTTAAGATGAAATGAAAATTTACACCACACAGATACATGCAGACTCTCTGAGTCTGGAGGGATGTACACATGATAGTGCATCCCAAGTTCAGAAGTGTAATTGTTTTCACAGTGTGTGCAATCTCAGCTGATAGAGTTAACTCTGAACTGTGTCAAATTGTTTATCACATTAGCACAACGTTCAGGATCTGTTTGGATCAAGATGGTTTCTGCAGAGTCATTTAATGTCTGTGCAAGTGGTACACTGCAGAAAGACACTCTAATTAATAACCCACAGAGCTGAGAAATACAGTGCTGAGACAGTTGATTGGTCCTCTTAGAATGTGCCCTAAGTCTATGAAGTTGAAGCTTGTGAATTGTGGAGGGTAGCAAGCAATTCTGAGGGAGTCACACAAATATCCCTGTATTGTATCCCCCACCTATTTGCAGTACTGTGCTATCATAATTCATTGTCTGGGACATCCCAGTCTTGTGCTGCTAAAATAATTGAGTGTTCTCAATTATTAATTCTACAAATTGTCCATACTGAGACGTAAGCAGCCTTTCTTGCTTCAACGTGTATGAGCAAATTACTTAAAACTTACTTCCATCTGTACTGTACTAAGGTCCAGAAAAGACACTTTCTTGTCTGCTTGAGCTGCACGCTGCCTCGGTTTGGGTGTTGGTTTCTGTAATAAAACAAGTATATTTGAAGACCACTTATTGCCATATTCTAACCATCTTATTTTACAGTAAATTTTGAGGCACTCTAATTTTTCTGAAAGCCAAATCTGACTGCACTAAATTAAATTCCAAATGGGCAAGATGATGTAGATGATGTTTGGATAAGCAATGCCCTCCCCTCGTCCCCAAATGTAGATACCTTTCAGAATTCAGCCACAAATGGGTATAAAACTCTACAGAACATCTGTGGAATGCAATGCGAGTTCCAGGTAAGAAATAATTATAGGACTGAAGTCAGTGGTATCATATAAGTGGCAGAATGATTTGTTATTATCGTTTATGGAGTGCTTGATTTTTTTCTCTTGTTCTGTAGGCTTACTGTACCTTTGACACCTTTACTCATGCCATTCCCTTTGGAGAATTTTAACATAGAAACAGAAATGAGACTGGCAATAGTTGCAAAATTAACAAAATGATCCAGAAATATTTCTGTCATGGTGTTATAATAAAAAAAAAAAAAATAAAGAAAAAGTGGTTTATTATTGTTCATGATTTACTCTCTTTAGGAATGTAGAAATTACCCTCCACTTCCACTGAATTTTATACACAAAAAAATCCTTACACTACTTTTGAATGATTTTTAAGAAGCTATTGTGTATCTTACCACCATGCTCCAGGCACCATAATAATGAAGAGTGTGGTGCAGAGACACCTATGCATCTGTACATATGGCTTGGGTCTGGCTGCTTGAGAATTCTTTTGGCTCAAAGCTACCCCAACTGACTGACTTCTGTCTGAGTTTCTAAGAGACCACAGAAACAACATCTGATTTCACAACTGTCATAAACTTCAACCATAACCCTGAAGTTAAACAAGCATGTGACTACATTTTATGTAGGACATCTACATTTGAAAGAGAATTAATAAGCACTAAATTTATAGGCAAAACATTTAATGTTTGTTATTTCTTCTCCCTTTTCTCCCTGCTATTCTCTAATTAATTATCTACCATTATAAAAGACTTCTAAAACTTTTGGACACAAGAATGATTTCACTTCCCAAAGCAATTGAAGATAGTAGTTATATGAAGTATTTGTACTATGCATTATATTACAGTAAGGACAAATCCTGGTCATCAGGGAAGAACTAAATGACCTGCTGTATTAGGTCTTTTATATCTCTTAACTTCTGCGAGTTTGTTAAATTACTTACTGTCACTGATGAGGTAAAAGGAGACGGGGCTGGAGGCTGTGTTTTTTCCTCTGCTAGTAATTTAGTTGCCATTGATTCCTCATTTTGAATATAATTCTGTAAGTCTGCAGCCACTGTTGATCCACGTGGTGGTAGGTACACATATTTCCATTTTAATTCAGCTGTGATAGTACCAGTAGCATGTTTTTGAGAATCTGTTAGTTCAAAAGTACCTGAAAGCAAAAAGCAAATCTTGTCTAAATTATCTTATTCTATACATACACAATAAAATGCAATGCAAAACCGAATGGGAGTCAGAAATTTAGTAACTTAATAGTCTTCATTTTAGAAGATAAATTGTGTCTAAATATTGCGTTTTGTAGATCCAAATATATCCAATGTAACACTGTGGATATTCAAAAATACAGGATTTAGAAGTGACTAGATTACTGTGTTTGCTCAAGATGTCCTGTAGGTTTCTCAGATAATCCAATAACAGGTAACTAATTCTTACTGACACCTTTCAAAAGATCTAACTAAAACATTTCTATATTTTACTATTACTAACTTTTGTTAAAGAAAATGTAAGGACTGTGAATTGCTAAATCTTTATCAAAGAAGAAACACCCTAAATTCACGTGCATTTTTTTTTAATATCCATTTATATGGGATATTTGTAGAAGCATATTTTAAAATTTTCATCCATGTCTTAAAGTTGACAATGAAATAATCATTGAGCAGCTTTTACATTATAAACACCACAGTAAATTTGTAACTGGCATCAGCTTGCAGGGAGTAATTGATACACTGAAGGCAGGGCTGCTATTCACACAGTGGAAAAATGGGCTGACTGAAACCTCATGAGGTTCAACAAAAGCAAATGCAAGGTCCTGCATCGGCTCAGGAATAGCACCAAGCAGTAGTACAAGCTGGGTGTTGGCTGGCTACAAGCAGCCTTGCAGAAAAGGAGAGCTGGTCCTGTTTGAAAAAAATAAAATATGGCAGCCAAACAGTTCCTCTGCAACAAAGAATGCCAATTGTACGCTGGCCTGTACTATCAATGCAGTCAAGCAGGTCCAGGGAAGTTTTGTACTTTCTCTATTTGACACCTATGAGATGCCACCTGTAATACTGTGTCCAGTTTTGGCCTCTCCAGCACAAATAAGACATTGACATTCTGGAGCAGGTCCAGTGGAGGGCTAAAAAAACCTTCAGGGATTTGGATCTGTTAGGTCCATGTTAGGACCATGATAAATTAATATTTGGACTACAGGTTCCTTTGATTTTTTTTTTTTTAAACTTGCTGATTTTAAAATAACGTATTTACTTATTTCTCTTAGATCTCAGAAAATATCATGAGACGGAGAGATCCTACTATTACCATCAATCCTGTTAAGGTACAGGCATCCTGTTCAGATTCATTGCAGTTGATGGATAATCACAAAAATACCACATTAAAATCTGAATAAAATGCAGCAATGCTAGAACATTGTGTTAGTACTGTCTTAGTAAACAAAAGAGATATTAGAAACTTTTTCTCCCCTTTACTCTTTTCTTTCTCTAATGTTTGAAGTTTAATGTTTATATAAAAAATCATTCATCAGTTTCAAAGCTCTGACAGAGACTTTTCACTACCCATGACTTAAGTAACACCAAGATGCAGAATTCCTTTCCTGGATTTTACTGGAATTTAAAAATCTGTCAGACAAGAACAGTAGATGAATGATAAGGGTTTTTAGAACCATAGAATTGTTTAGGTTGGAAAAGACCTTTAAGATTACCAAGTCCAACCATTAACCTAGCACTGCCAAGTTTACCACCAAACCATGTCCCTAAGTGTCTCATCTACACATCTTCTAAATACCTCCAGGGATGGTGACTCAACCACTTCCCTTGGCAGCCTGTTCCAATGTTTGATGACCCTTCCAGTGAAGAAATTTTTCCTAATACCCAGTCTAAACCTCCCCTGGGGCAACTTGAGGCCATTTCCTCTCATCCTAACACTTGTTACTTCAGCAAAAGAGACCGACACCCACCTCCCTACAGCCTCCTTTCAGGCAGTTGTAGAGAGCAATAAGGTCTCCCCTCAGCCTCCTCTTCTCCAGGCTAAACAACCCCAGTTCCCTCAGCCGCCCCTCTCAAGTCTTGTGCTCTGACCCTTCACCAGCTTTGTTGCCCTTCTCTGAACACCCTACAGCACCTCAATGTGTTTCTTGTAGTGAGGGGCCCAAGACTGAACACGGTATTCAAGGTGCGGCCTCACCAGTGCTGAGTACAGGAGGATGATCCCTTCTCTAGTCCTGCTGGCCACACTATTTCTGATACAGGCAGGATGCTTTTGCCCTTCTTGACCACCTGAGCAAACTGTTGGCTCATACTCAGCTGGCTGTCAACCAACACCTCCAAGTCCTTTTCCACTGCGCAGCTTTCCGGCCCCTCTTCCCCAAGCCTGTAGCGTTGCATGGGGTTGTTGTGACCCAAGTGCAGGACCCAGCACTGAGCTTTGTTGAACATCATACAATTGGCCTCAGCCCATTGATCCAGCCTGTCCAGATCCCTCTGAAAAGCCCTTCTCTAGTTTGGTTCTTAAAGAGATTTAAAGAACTATGAAAAAGGAACTGAAGATTTTGTTAAGTTTAAAGAGGTCTAATTCTTACCTGAGATAGATCTGTCATGTGCTAAAGAAATAAGAGGCACATTGGCTTTCCCTACATAAGCACATTCTTCCGTTTCACCATCATCAAATACATAAAACGTTAAGGATTCTGACTTTAGGTATCGGTCTAAATCTGCATTCACTGGCACTTGGAAACACATATGGTCATCTATTTGTGGGTTGTTGCTGCTAGGAATGATGGGAGTATCATGGTCTGCAAAATCAAAGAACTTGTAGACAACATAAGGATTTGGCTGAAGATGTTTTTTTCGGGACTGTAGATTGTTACAACATTTTATTGTAATGTGGAGTTCATTTAAATTGCCATCTGTTGAAGTGCTGACTTGGGCAGTTCTGAGTATCTGCTGCTTTAAATGAAAAAGAAGTTAAATTAAAACCATTAGAATTCTTATGTTAGTGAACTCTAAGAAATATATAAATAGAACAAATAACTGATTATTTCAATGACACTCCAACTACTGTTTAACTTTATATGTCAAAATATTATTTGCTCTATAAATTCAATGACATCTCTCTTGGGTTGTTGCTATAAGGAAGTAAGAGGTTAATCCTTCCAGGTCTGTGACTGTTTTATTCTTGTAAAGTTTTATGATCTACTTGTCATTTGATTATCTACAAAGCAGTAAAGATCACAGTTTTAAGAGTGATTCATATCTAGTGACACTTTGAAGTTAAGGATTCTGATCCTGTCAGCTACCCCATGTCAAGAAATTTTTTATAACTGTAGCCCCTTTTATATATGTACTTTTCAATAATTAAAATTGCACTGCAGATTCCTTTGTTTTTTTCTTCCTCTAAAACCTTTACCTACATAATCAATTTACAAAAATTAGAAATCCGCATTGGAAGAGTAACACTAAATGTTTGAAGTAAATTAAAAAACTCGATGATATCACAAATTTTTTTAATTACCTGTCAGCACGGTTCATACATACTGTGGAACACACAGTTGGCAAACTGGGAAATTAATTTTAATACATATTAAAGAATAAAAAGAAAACAAATAACAGGACTATCTTAAATGATTAATCCCTATCTATATTGATCTCAAAAGGCTCTCCTTTTTTTCCACAATATGTCATAACTATTTTCATGAATTGTACATAATTATCTTGCTTGTGGAAGCCAGGGTTCGTTCTTCTAGTATATGGGGAAACATGTATCAATTTGATTTTGTGTGATAAAATGTTAAATATTTTGATTAAATAATCCACACTGAAATAGTTAATGAGAAAACCAAACATGACCATTTAAATCCTTAATATGCAACCTTAAGACTACCATTTCTGGCTACAAACAGAACTAGGAAAAAAAAAAATGTATAGCAGTTTATGTACAGGTCATGTTTCCATGATTTCTGCTGCTATACAGGAGAGAAAATTTTACACGCATGTTTAACTAGTAAAAACTTAAATTTTGGAACTCACAACTGAAGCTACTTTTGCAGCTGAAGATTGACAGAACCTTTAACATAATGTAACCATCTGCTACAGCTATATGACTTTTAGTTTCTGCCATGAAACATTTCCGAAAACTGCGGTGATTCAAACAGCTCTGTAGAAGCTGTTTTTCATCTCTGTCATTTTTCCTTTTCATTTTCTCTCGTATAATCAGTAGATTTCAGTTGCCATGTTTGAATTTGCAATTTTACAATAATTACAATAAAACACGGTGTTCCACATGCCTTACCTTTCAACTGTGTTTAGATTGGTAACAGCTAGAAATAACATAATCAAAAATAGAGGAAACTGAACAACAGATTTTGGCATTTAACAATGGCCAAATTTTGTGAGTTAAAAATAGCTTTGATTCTTTAACAATCAGATTTAAACAAATGCTACAATGTTATCAAACACAAAGTTATTCTGAAAATGCCTACATTGACCTTTAATAGAATTCATACTCTAAATATACTTCTCAGATTACATCACTGATTCCATTGATTCAATAGTATAAATTTACATTATGGAATAATATAAAACATTAAATTTACTCCAGACTTATAGTAACTTAAACAGCTATAGATAAAAATAAAATTGCCTATTAGAAACTCTGAAGTGTTTTAATGTATACTCTTCAACCTGATTTTTATTTCTTAAATAATTGTTAAAGATGTCAAAGTCCTTTCTTATTCTGTCTGTGACCTTTATTTAAATGTGATTATACAGTTCATTTTATTATCAAAATTCTCTTAATTATCCAGAAAAAAAACCAAAACACACAGAAAACCCCCCTGAAAAACATGAAATAATCTCAGTCTCATAATACTCAAAGATTAAGAATTTTGAGACCTCTGAACAACTGCTTCACCTGGTATACTGATCTGACACCCAGCTGGTTTAACCTTTGTGTATACTGTACGAGAACAAAATGTTCACAAAATATGGCATTTACAGGTTAAGAAAACTGAATATAATAATTTCAAATATTCTATTGACAATTTCAGTAAAAATCAATAACTGAAGTTTAAGACTTTGTCTCTTCAGGAAAGCTGTAATTCAACTGCTTCTTTATCTCTTTCTATGAAAAGTATGTCATTCAACTGCTAACGGTATTTTCTAGTTCAGGAAGCTTTAGCTTTGTTAACCTTGAACATACCAAGACTTGAAACGAACTATTTGAACTGAACAAGTAATTTTGAACAGTTTATTCTATCAAAACTATGAAATACAAACCCAAACATACCTGAGGTGGTTGTTCATGTTCCCTAGAACTGGATGTTATATACCCCAGAGCCTTTGACCTCTCTTTGTAGAGTCTAATAGCTTGATCCATAGGAACTCGTAACCTGATCCAGTACTCTACAGTACCATAATTTTGAATGTTTTCTTTGATTCCTAAGGAACAAATACATACAGGATTGCATTAATTTTCTTTTCAACATTGAAGCACTTAAGTCAAAAGTCAGGAAATGCCACAAATTAAAGATTAGTCATCTTGTGACAGTGTTTGTGACATGAGATGTGCAGTTCATGTTAGAAACAGAAATTACTCCTCCTCTGGCTCTACATGTATGATCCAAAACATGACCATTTTTTCACATTGTAACCTGCAGTATTTACTGTCCAATCTATAGAGTCTAGTTAGGGTCATTATTTTAATCTCTTTAAGGCAAATAAAGCTTAAGATAGTTTTGCACGGCAACAGCTAGAAATGTCCCATAAAGTGGTATAAAGCTTAAATTACTGGCAAACCCACCACTTTATAATGGCTTATTAAACTGGGTTTTTGACAACAGCAGGTAGTTAGATGTCTCTGAAGATACTGATCTGACAAAATGCTTCTAAGAAAAAAAAAAAGTAAGAAGCACAGAATATTAAGTACTTCTTAAAAAAGGCTCGTCTGGGATATCTTAAAGTTATTTTAAACAAATGAATTAAAAGGAAAAAATGCACAAAACCTAAATCAACTACCCCATAGGTTATGCTACTATATGAAATATTATTAAATGTAATAACTATAATTTGCACCTTTTTGATACCTTATGACTACTATATGAAGACCTCTGATTACCAGTTTAAATTACAAACACTGTAACCACTTCTTCCTTTATTTATCGATAAGCAATAAGGGATATATTTATGACATTTGGGCCAGATATAAAGCACTTACGTTTGATAGTCTTATAACGCAGAAATGTTTTTGTTTTTAATGTATATTCTGCCAAACAGAGAAACTGTATATTCAGAAGTAATTTAATTTCATTTAAGCATATTAGAAGACTTCACCAAAATTACTGTATATTTCACAATTGAAGTAGAGCCCCCCTGTATCAGTAACAGTCTCAGAGGATCAAAGAAACTTGCATTAAACAACTAAACCACAATTAACAATGTGTAAAATAATAAAACAAAACGAAAAAGAAGTCTTATTTTAAAATATCTTCTCTACAGTATCCACAGAGAAATTCTAACATACGAATAGCACTACAAAGCAATCAAATACACTGCTCTACTAACTACTTTTCTCCATGTCATTTTTATATAATTCTGTGAAGTAAGGTGATACTATATTTTATCAAAATTCTTTACATGTGTAGTAGTAACACTTTGCAAGTAGCCTTTATACAAGACAAAGAATCACTTGCTATATTCAGACCAGATTCTCTAATGCCATTTCCAAGACATCACATACTTCTTATGTCATGTACTTCAGCATCACTATATTAACACCATGCTCATCTCAGCCATTATGGGCAAAATCGTACTTTTAAGACGTTTTCTAGAACTATTGGTAGAATCACTAGAACATGCTGCACATCCAACAGGAAATATGACACATACATTTTTTTTTTTCTCTTTTGAGATAGTAATACACAAATTCATTGTTGGCCAAATACACATTACTTAATTGTCACAATACTGCATCAAAGAGAATATTTTTTTATATGTTAATTACCAACTAAATTTGCTGTGCTGTAGATCTTCTCATTCTTTTCCAATATTTCATGGAACTTCAGTTCACATGCAGCAACTGTTTCATAATCTGTGCCATATGCACGATGAACCTCAAGTTTGATACTATTTTGCTGTATATAGTGCAAGAAGCAGTCATCAGTCTGCACAAGATACTGAGAAGTGAAGTCATATGATGGGGTATGTCCATAAACTACTGGGGTTGTCTGAAGTTCAAAGTCATAGAATGCGAAAGTACAAAAAGTTGCAAGTTCATGGTCACCAAAAGCCTGCATTGATCCAGAAGAGAAGATCACTTTGCCGATATGAATTTCGAAAAGGTTCTCTCCTCTTTCTAAATGTAAATTTTCATCAAATTCATCCACTGGATCACCTGACAACATTTCTGGTCTGGATTTATATGGCTTTGTACCATAGGCAATATCTCTTAGTTGGGCTGAAACAAAAAATAAAAGAGTCACAATACAACTGTCTTTGCAAATTTAATTAATGGTGGAGTAGAAAGGAAAAAAGCATAATTCAATTATATTAACAATGTTAAATGTTAAAACGCCTTCTTAAAGGTGTTACCAGAAAAGAAATCACACATTCAAAATTATATCTCTAACATTCATTTAGCATACTGACAACAATCAAGAATATCTCCACAACGGAGCTGCTTCAATAAATAAAAAAAGAAGATAGACACGAGTTCCTAACAATTAATAACAGATTACAAGGGAGTTAACAATTAAAACCTCAGAATTCTTATGCAATGATCAATGTAAGTATCACTACGCAAATGTAGCAGAGACTTAAGTTACATATTTTTGTAGGGTTGAACTAATTTGCTAGGGAAAGAAAGAATATGTCTGACTTTTAACCTCTGTTATATCTTGAGTGGACAGAACTATCAGCAAAGACCTTTATATGTTGCCTGGTCTCGCAGGTGGCAAATGGTGAACAAATCAAAATACACGCTTACAGGATTAGGACATAAATCACCATGCAGTCCTTTAGTACAGGGGATGCAACTTGGAAACAAAACATGAAAATTGTTATAATATGGGGTTGGTAAGGTATCCTATTTCAGGCTTCCTAAGCACCTTTTACACACTGAAGCCATTAAAACAGCATTTTAAATTAATCATATTAAAATATTCCATAGGTAAACTCCATATCCCATGAATTTGAGATTTTTAGGAACACATAAAATGATTATGTAATGACAGGACAGCAAAATAAAAGGTTGACCATAAATGTATGATTTATTTAAAAAAATAATAAAAAATATCAAAGCTTGTTTTTTTTAGTTTTATTCAGCAATAGCTGCAGCATAAACTGCTTTGTTGAATTTTGTTTGTTTAATAACTTTATTATTTAAGTCAATGAAACAGCACACAGATAATTTTCCATGAAAGAACTGACCTTTCTACTAGTTTTGGGAATGGAAAAGTGTTTCAACTGAAGAACAGATTTATGGCAGTAATTTTCAAGATATAAACTGTAAAAAAACAAAATAGAGAAGAATATACTTTAAAGATACCTTCTAGTTTTCTGATGCGTGCAGCTCTAATGTCAAGAAGATGGACATACTGTTCCAGTTTTAACTCATAGTCTTTCTGAAGACTTTCCATTTTTTGTGTCACTGCTTCTACTTCAGTCTGAAAAAAAATTTGCATATAAAAAGGACTTTTGAGCCTTGTCTGCACTGATGTTGCAGATGCTGTTAGCTACAAATTAAAATACAGTTAGATTTGAGAAAAGAACATTTAGAGTACACAAAAATAGCATTTTTAAATTCAACAATACAGCTATCAGTTTGAATTTCAGCAAAATCTAAAAACGTTATTAAGAAAAAATGACTAGCTATTCTTTCAGGGCAATGTTCCTAATAGTTTATTTAATTATTTTGTTATTTTAAACTTAGAATAGTCGAATGAAAAGTCAAAAAATTATCTGCAATAATCCAGCACAAGAGAGTAAAAGCAGTGTTGTAGAAAAGGAAGCTTATCTGATAAATACACTTACCACTATTCCTGTGAAGAACTGATAAGAGCTCAGAGATAATCCCAAAAAGGCATGGTTTGAGGGCTCTGATCAGAGTGAGTTAAAATACTCAAGTTATAGTCATTTGGACTTCAGCTTTTTAAAGAATACTTTCAACAACAGCAAAGCTTATATTAGGCTACCTAGAAACAGACTGGGTTTGTTGTTGAATTTGGAAGTCTTATTTATGACAAGTTCCAGTGCTACAAATGTTAAGATGTTATTATCAGGTTATTTACCACTGTGAGTAGAGTTTAGTACCTGGTAATCTTTGTTAATTTTGTGCTGCACAATTAACATATTTCTTGTCTTTTCAAGTTCTTGCACCGTCTCTGCATGTGTTAATTGCAGTTCCCGCATGGCCTGTTCTAAATTTTTATGGATATCATCTTCTACTTTCTCCAAAAACACAAGGTCCTCATTTTCCTGCTGCCTTTGAACCTGGAGCAAATTTGAAAAATTACTAGAACAAATTTTTGCAAAATATTTGGATGTATTTGTGCCTGGCTAAACGTAACACTGGGATATAATTTTGGAACAACACTAAGACAGTAAGCATAACTTTGTAAATCATGTGGTAACACAAAAAATAGGAATGAGGTAGACCAGTAAGTATCAGGATTGTATTCAGTAATGTAATCTTGTGATTAGCAGGAACCAATTAAAATGTATGAGATATGCAGAAACAATCACTCCTCTCTATTCAATGAAAATATAACCCCCTTAATATATTTCCCTCATATAATTAATCATCCTGCTTCAGTAGATCTACAAAACTTCAATTATTGTTCTCAAGTCTACATTGCTTCTGTTATTAATCTGGGGTTTAAATTTTCATACAGGTGGTTTGTTGTTTTTTTTTGTTTGTTTGTTTGTTTTGTTTTTTTTTTTTTTTTTCATTATCATTATAAAATTATGATTTGCATTTCAGTAGCAGAAAAAGATTCTACTTATAGTAAATACTTCCTCAAGAAATTAAAATGTCCCTGGAACAGTGGGAACAATGCAAACTTATTTTTTCACTGATTTCTTTCCCCCACTTAATTTTCAATTTTTCTGTAAACAATAAAATTCCAACTTATGTGCAAGAGAAAAAAATAGAACATTTTCTGTGTATTTTTCTTTTTCTGTTTTAATAAACAAAGAGAAGTTGTTAAGCATCTTTGTGTCACATTTTAGAACTTCTATGCTTATAGTATACTCCCACAAATTACAGAATAAACAAAAATTTTTAAAAATAAACATTATAGGAAGAACAGGATGGCATGCTAAGTCATTTAACTGAGAAAAAGTTATTAAAAAAAATGCTTGTGTATATGATTTAATTAACTTTTGGTGTTATAAAGAATTACCTACATAGACCTAGATTTTATTCTGGCAATTTTTTCATCTTCCCCTCTGTTTCACTCTAACTGAAAAATTACAAAATCGCACAAAGCTTGAAGCATTAACTACTAAAAGCTGCACAAATAATTCAACGCTTGAAAATCCCAAGCAATGTGTAAGAAACATGTAATGGTCAACCAATGGTTTTAAAAAAAAAAAAAAAAAAAGAGAGAGAGAAAAAATGCAAAATATATAGAATCATAGAATGGTTTGTGTTGAAAGGAACGTTAAAGACCATCTAGTTCCAACCCCCCATATGCTCATTTTTTGTAAATTACCTTTAGAAGCAAGAGGGCTTCACTGAATTCTGTAGCATTGATCTTACTTTCCTCAAACACAAATACTTAATGAAAAGGTGTTATCAGATGAGAATGAATATCGAAGAAATACACTCAGAGTAAAAAGGTATATTCTCACTAGACATGACATCTTGCTTGATATCATGAGTAAACACTTATATTTCTGTATTCTTTTACTTTCAGGAAGTATTTGCACTATGATTAAAACATAGAACAGCGGTTTTTGCTCATATTCTAAACAGCATTATAGTTCACCTTGGTTAAAAACTTAATGTGATTTTTCAGTTCATCTAGTTGTTGCTTTTGTTCCAGGTAGCATAACTGCAGGTCTTTGTTCTCTTGCATCAGCTTTTCCTTTTGGTCTTAACATAGAAAAAGAAGAAAATATTCAACTTAATTCAACATAATTATAAAAATTATAAACTTGTTTTTTCATGTTCTGATGCACAAAAATTTAATTTTAAAATGTAGAAACTGATTTATTTTGTATAGGGAAGTCTTTGGTATTAAAAAATGGAAGGAGAGGGATAGAAAACTACCCCTCTTAGATCTGGTATAGGTATATAGATTAAAAAAAAGCAAAGCATTCCTACTTTCATTAAAAGGGAACCTACAGCATCAAAAATCTATACTTTGTCTATTTCTAAATAGAAGGATATGCCCAACTAATTACAGCTTTCTCTTTTAGGGGGAGGGAGGGAAGAGGGGAATAGAGAGGATATTAAACTTTTTGCCAATGTGAATGACTAAACACCATTAAACCAGCAGAAGGTGACACAGATTTTACACAAATACCCACTAATGCATAGCTACATCCACAATGATTTCTCAATGAAATGTGCAAAAGAACTTAACGTTTAGGCAAAATAATTTAGCTATAACAACATCCCTTCTTCAACATGGAAAAGTTTTAAAAGCAAGCATTTCTCAAAATCACTGAGGTCTCTAAGGAACAGAAGTACGTACTCACTCTCCTCCCCTGGCCAAACTCCTTATTCTGTTGATAACCATGTGTTTTCTCTTCACATTTTTTCCTGTTCTTTTTGAAAGTCCCAAAGTTATATTCTCATACCATGTACTTATATACTATGAATGCATATTTTAGGTCAGATATAAATGGTATAAATGTTAACTGTCAACCTAATGTGCAAGCATTAGCCTTTGTAATTCCCATCCATACTTGTGGGAGCTGATTGGTAAAACCTTACATACTTAGTTGAGAATATATTCTACTGCTTTCAACATAGTAGTCCACAATATCTTTTTAATGCTGGAATCTTTTCGGATGACCCTCAGGGCATGATGCACAACTGAGCTATTTTTACAGAATGGCTTTTCAGTTTAGAGGCTTGAATGCAGCAGGAAACAGGTGGCTGAGATACTAATCTCTAGGGTTTTGAAATGTTTCAAAAACTGATATCAGGTTAGCTTTATTTTTGTACACTTTATATATTAAATGATATCTTCACTAAAAATGAATCATCTGTAATGTCATTGCTCCTATACACAGTAGCCTGACTCATACATGTGTTGAGACTCCGCAAGTCACTTTTAATTCAAACACATAATCATCAGTGAGGTTTTAATTCTTTGCAGTTATGAGGCAAATGTAATGTATTTGTGCAATTGAGAAGAAAACATAATTAGAAACACTAAGGGCTAAAAATTAGAAAGCAAATAAGAGAACTATTAAAATAAACCATGTCAATGAGCAGAGAAGGCAGGCCTTCATAGAAGATGGTGAAACACTTATAAGCAATTGAGTCTTCTGGACTCTCCCAAATAACACAGCCGAAAGACCTGTATCTGTTGGGAGGCCTCCCACAGAGAAAAAGGGCCCCTCATGCTGATGTTGTTTCTTTCCCATGCAATGTAAACTGAGATCTGAACTGGCACTTTTTCCAGTGATAAAGAGACAAGATATCCCTCCTCGAGTACTTGCATCTCATTGTCATGAATTTTCTGACAAGAGCTGAAAGCTCAATCAACATTTTTTTTTTTATTATGAACACCACTGAAGTTTTCCTACACATTTTTAACATTCATGCAAACTTGCTACTTAAAAAGTTAACTTCAAAACTGTAAACGCTATATAGGAAGGAAACAGCTTTTGTTCCAACTGAGGCAATTTCAACAGCTTGTTGAACTGAAATGGGCCAATCTGTCGGTGGCACAGCTCAGTCTACATTAGCACTGTCCATGTTGCCTCTCCAGGTTCTCAGCAGGCTGTTTCTATGATCCCAGCCAAAACGAAAAATGCAAGACATGCAGGGAAAGATGCAGGAGGAAAGGGAATACTGCAATAGCCTTTAGGGAGCAGAAGTGACAGGAGGGTACTGCCACTCAGTTTTCCCATATAACTACGCTGTTTCTCATCACGAGCCACTCAACTCTCTGTTGGCTGTTTCCACTTGCAATAATATCAGCACTGATTGAAGCACACTTGGATTGGGGTTGGTGCTGGCTGCTCCTTAGCTTGCTTCCCCTAATTTAACCCAAAAGCTGCAATTGAAGGGGAAGAGAAGAGACTATTCTCACACCACTGGTGACCACATCCCACAAGAACACAATGACAACAACATCGGGGTTTTCAGTAGCAAGGCTATGACAGTAGCAGCACAAGAAAGAGAAAAACACTGCCCCAGAAGCTTGTGTGAAAGGCTACAGAGCCACAGCTGGAGGCAGACTACAGAATTCCAGGTAGCTCTCTGTGTTGATAAGGGCCTGAAAAGACAATTAAGGGACTGTGCAATAATACTCTTCTCAGCTGTAATCAAAATATATATTGTGCCAATTTATGCAATCCCATTCAAAATCATAATTTGAATAAACTTGCATTGGTATCTTCCATATTAAGTATTAGTACATATTCACAAAACATGAAAATAATTAGAATCGTAATCAGCAAAAGCCTCCTCATTTGTTCACCTCCTACATAAATTCCCAGGAAGAGTTCTTATAGACCAACCAAGTAGCAGGGTAGAAGAAAACCACCACTGTCTTTCCCTGTAAATAAAAAGTACACGCTTTCAAGACAATTGAGACTTATTTTGCTTACTAGCTGATAACATAACTACCATCATGTACAAGATCTATCCTCCTGCTCGTCCTTGCCAAACCCTCTATTTGCCTAGGTCCAATTTAGGGCAACAAGGCTGTTGCCTTTGTTAGCCCACGGAATAAAAGTAGAATTGTATTTATGCTGATTTTTTTTTAGTAGCTTTATGGGCAGAATAACGATATGTAGGGAGTGAAATGTAATTTTTAGTTGTATGTTTCACATGTCAGTTTTTACTGACACAGAATAAATATTTGTCTGTTGAAACAACTATAAGAAAACCTGCAGTTAGTCAATAGCAGACTCTGTGTAAAACAGTACTATAGCCATGAACAACAAATGCAGCAAGGCATGAGATTAAATCAGTGAAAAATAAAAAATTAATTCCTGCAAATACCATGTTCTATAAAAAAAGAGCAAATGTAGTCAATGTGAAATAAGTTATTCTATTATCTGTCTAAATGTATTTAAGTACTACAAAACACCATATGAAGTTAGGGACAGAAAAACACTACTAAAAAGTTCAGATTCAAATTACATGATGATTCTAGAAGAGAAATACTGAAAGAGGACACGGGAAAAGGCAAGATGATGTTAGTCTCCTGTAGCACTGAGAATTTTCAAGCCTTCATTTATTATAACACTTGTTAGTCCTGGGAAAGAAGTTTTGTAAAAAGATTCATATGCCAAAACTGCAAAGGATAAACAAGACACTATTGCTACACTAGTTCCAGGCAGTAGGTTAAGACAAACAGTCCTTCAGTTTTCCTGCTGAACCTGAAGGGATGAGTAGCAAAGGCAGATACTCTGAAGTATGTCATTGAAGGAACTTATATTGCATAAGTTTTGTCAAAGACAAGAAGCTGTAATCAAATCCTAGATACATACGCCTTGAAGGGTATTACTACATCTACTCAAGCTGGGGCAAGTTCAATTCAATAAAAACTCATAGCATAGTAACCTAGTGATCCAGTTTAAGACTACAACAAGCTCTTAAGTAGCAATATGGGGAAGGGATGGTAAAGTCTTGACACTTAAATATAATGCCCATAGGAAGGAAAGAAGATGGAAGGGGTTCCCTGATTTTCCATGTTCAACTTAACCAAGTAATAGTATGGCCTGTAACATTTTCATACTCTTAATATCACTTCACATTTTGTATTGTATAATGAAACTGTCATTAACAACTGTCTCTAACTGTCAATATCTCATAACTTCATATTATTGTAGCTTAAGGCATCTTATTTATTTTAGTATCACTTAAGGCTAATTTTGCAAACAGTTGCTGTGGTCAAATAAAATTTTTAAATATTTAATCTGGCATTTCAAGTCAGTAGAGCTACTCAGAATCTTAATGGTAAGCACATGCTAAACTTGAGCCATAATCTTAAGAATTATTCACAAGTTGACTCACTTCATTCCATTAGATTGTTCACAGAAAAGCACCTTTTAAAAAAACACATTTGAAGAGTCAACTCTAAAAATCTTTAGTTTACTTCCTGCCTGTCTTCTTCTTTTCTATACTTTATGTTGCCACAGTATATCACAGTATTGAGATTAAAAAAATAAAAGATTGCAAGGTCTTAAAGATTCAGTGAGAATTTATCCTACAGCATGGGAAAAACACATATGAAATAATATGTTCAGTAGGTTAGAAGAAAACTGTATTATTGTAAATGTACATAGCTGTAAATAAAAACGAGTGTACACTGAAAATATTAAAAAATTCTGAGTTCACAAAGTTGAAAGACAATTAACTACTTTCAAGAGCCCATACAGGTTTCATGCAACTTTGTACAGTAAATAAAATTAAAATAGTGGTTTATAATTTGAGAGGGACTGTCAGATGGTCTTCTTGACCATAAGAATTTTTGGTGTAGAGAAGAAATACAGAATAAAGAGTAAATATTAATGCAACAGATGAAGAATGAATGCATCTGGAGTTATATGATCCTCATTCAGCACATAACCTGTATAAGGTCAATTTTTGTACTTAACAGTCAGTCATAACTTAAGCATATTGTTCAAATGTACACTTAAAAAGCAGCTCTGAAATCACCAACAACAGAAACTACACTCTTCTGGGGAATATACCTGAATTCCAACACAGGAGAATCTCACATAATGAGAAAATGATAGTTATTTCAGAAATATACCTCTTTCTACTTTGATCTTGTCAAGGATTTCATTTTTGTATGCTAAATCAGATTCAATAGTAGACTCTAGTTTAGCAATTTGCAGTTTCAGTTGCTGTTCCTTTAACTTCCATTGCTGTTCATGGGTCATACTGAAGACACTGCAATAAAACATGTGGCATGTGAAAAACTTTTAGAAATCAGCTTCAACAGAGAATAATAAAGAAAAAAAGCTTTTAGTGGCACAGAGACCACTGTCATCATGTCTCAGGAATTAAGTAAACATATGCTGGTCTGCTGCTGTTGAAACCAAGGCGCCTTTCTCAGGCTGCGGTTAAAAAACATGAAAGAGTTTGTGGGATGAGCAAAGAAACTGGCCTTAATTTAGAGCTCCAAAGTCAGAAAAGTTGGCAGCATGCAACATTTGTGGGACTAGAAAAGGAATTCAGATGCATATCCCAGAGTAATCCACAACTCCAAACCTCAGCAACTGACAACTGACAAACCCATTCTTTCCGCATACAAAACCTCTTAATGTAGAGAACTGGGATCACCCACCTGATTTCTTTTAAATCTGTGAAACATGCAGAGCCTAAAGTCAGTTGCCTGTTCAAAGAAATGTTGACCACAGAGTGACAACAGTTTTCTCATACTGTAAAACAACAATTCTGATACTGATTAAGAAGCACATATAAAGTAATCTTTCTCCTACTTTAAGAAATAAAAAACAGAGGTGGGCAAAGAAATTAGAATAACTATTTTGCCTGTAACACATTATTTACTTGTAAACTAGCAATCTGTGTGCAATAAGGATTGCATGGACACCACAACAAAACATGTAACTCGTATTGAAACAAAATTAAGTACATTATATAATTCACAGTGTAATTTCCAGTAGGTAAAAAAAGAAAGCAATGCAATATGCCTTCATGTAATTTTTAGACAGTGACTACTGTGGTCTTCATATTGTTGTTATTATTCAATACTTGCATTCATATTGACTGAAAAAATGTCCTTCATCTTAACCAGTCATAAACCAGTTTATTCACTTTTGTCTTCTGTGAAAAATCAGAAATTGTAGGGTTTTTTTAAACAAAAGTGTCAGTTCCTCATCTCTTTACTTTTGTGAAGCTCACCAGTTAAAAAAAGTTATTTTTTACACACATAAATTTATATTAAAAAAAAACAAATCTTCTGATATCTGTTTATCAGTCTATCTCTCCCAGATATTTATGTAACAAAACTCTCAAAAAACATGGAGAAAAAAGAAATATCATAGAAGGGTCAGCCCACATAGCTTCACAGACTGTACATGCTGATTGAAAGAGTACTCCCTGTTTTGATGGCTATGACTATATAAAGTGGTTCTGAGTACACATAAGTGCATTTATATCAAATATATTTCAAGAATGACCTTAAGATTAAAGAGGAAAAATTATAGCATGAATTGTACACTCTAAAGTAGATGGCAAGAGTTTATATTCTTGATTCGTGATCTTCATAAAAACAGTTCTCTCTGTATTTTGTCTTTTTCTCATACTATATCTATCTCACCTATTTACACAGTTCTCTGGGCATATACCATCTTTTAGTGTGATAGAGCATCTTTTACAGCATGCACGAACTTAAGCAATGCTTCTAAGTCCTACAGTAATAGATACTTCCCTCTGGTATAATTCTGAAGATAATACACAGTAAATAAAATGCAGTGAACCCACAATCATTTCTGTAATACTGCATAGGTACAGAAGGGACAGCGTGTTCTACAATTGCTTAGACTTACCACTCTTTGAAGTTTGACTTGCTCCCGTAAGGAAAGAATAAATCTTAGCAAGAAAAGATACCAAATACTTTTAGCTTTCACACTTGTGAAAATGTTTTCAAGTTTTAATGAACACGACACCTAGTTATATGTGCATTTGTAATCGTTAGGTACAATTACTTCATATAAAGATGTAGCTACACTTTCATTTTTTCAGAAGACTACGCTGGCAGAAAAATCATTAACACATATAGTCATTGTAGTTCAGAATTTAGATGTTTCGATGAAGAACATTTTAGAAGACAAGGTTTATCCAAGCCTACCTACTGCTAATGTTTATGGCAGTTTCAATTGAATACACTTCTGTCGCTTTCTTCTTCTGAATTTTAAGATTATTTTTACTTGAATTCATGTGGAATTTCTTTCACATTTACTGTATTTCACTGGAGTTGGAGCCATCTGGGTAACTATAAATGGTCAACCACATCTGGCACCATTTCCTTCAGAGAGAGTTTAAGCATTGCTAGATTTGCATTACAAGGTCATATGAAAACAATTCCTCCAAACCTTTTATCCAAACGAATTGTTTTCTTGGATACTGACTAAATAATAAGAGTCAACTGACAAATTCATACTTGTTCTTTGTAAACTTTTCAGATTCAGTTCTGCGGTGTTGGCTGTAGCAAAATTCCCATCAACTTCAAATGAATTGCCAAAATAAATAACATTAGTAAAGAATGGATTTATGCCTCTGTGCCACCATAAAAAAAAAAAAAGGAAGAAATATTTATTGATTATCTGGCACCTGTGGACACTGGCCTATCCACTGCTAGCAATGGGCAATCTTTAATAAAGTTGCATTGTTCAAATAAGCAACAGAAAAAGCTGGTAGTTATAATTAAATGATCTACTTATCTTTCTAATTTTTTGTTACCTATATAGTAACATGGAATGATGAAATTCGAATTAAAGTTTAAATGGGACTATATGAAAAGACAGATAATTTTAGGTAAAAGAAAAGCCATATTGTGGGTTACTGCATTATGAGAGAATCATATTTAAATTTATCTAGTTAAAAATCTTTTAAAGTTATCCTACTATGATTTAAATAAAACAGAAAATTTCAAGCCAATATTGTAAGTTGTTTGTTAGTAAGAGTTATTTGTCTCCATAAGAATAAAGGAAAATAATCAGAATCAGAAATATTTGTAACATGATCAGACTTTGGAGAAATCTACAACAATGAACTCAAGCAAGAGACAACTGACCAACTGCCCGTATAGAAAACTCTAAATATTGAGATTATACAACTGTTACATGTCATATGTAAAAAAATGTTTTAAGCTATTTGTACTCACAGTTTTAATTTCACTGTAGAAAGTATAAAAACTATAATTAATATTGTAAGAATACTAAACAACATTTGATATCATTCGCATTGGTTTTAGTCACTGGTATTTTTGTGAAAGATTTCACACTGACAAACCAAAAAAAACTTGAAGAGCAAAAATAATTTTTATATGAGAAAAGACTTCAAGCATTTTACTGAGTTTCCAAGGCAATTATTAGCTCTAGGATGTTTGTCTTATTTTCTAACCCTCTTCAGTGTAAAAGGCCACATGGTTTAACAATAAAGGAAACGTTCATTTGAAGGTCATTTTTTCCTTTAATAGACTTGTGGCAATTGACTATACTTACTTCTTTTCTGTACCAGGAAATTTGTGAAACATATCTGGCAATATCTTTTCATTTTCATTGTAAGCAATGCTGATACGATTTATACAACTTATTAGGTATAGGAAACTTTGTAAAGACTCACATGAGCCTATGCAAAGACTTCAAGAAGAACCAGCACAAGTGAAATGGTAGCCATTACCAAAACAAACAAATCAGCCCTCATAACTAAATACTGGAGATGATGTAAAATATCAGACATTAGATTCACTGAGAAGTGCTGGAAGAACTTACACAAAAAGTTCAAACACCCCTTTTCCCAAAACAAAACAAAATAAACTAAACCCAAAGGAATAGATGTCTACGCAGATATATAATTCTTTCAACAATAACCTTGAAAAAAAAATATTAGAAATTCAAATAAGAACTTTTGGTGTTGAGATTCAAAATAAAGTGACTTCCACTTATTTTTTAATTAAATTTTGTAAAAGAAGTAATCTAGTATTTCAAGAGTATTAGAACAAGTATGGAAGTTGCTCTGTTTTAACAGAACAGATGAAATACAGACAGAACACCATAAAAGTTTCCATATCCACTTACTGATATGAGGAATCGTAGCATGAATATATTTACACATGTGCACAAACACACAATATGCACATGTACATTCAAGCACAAAGTACATGATGACCTATTAAACAGGACAGGAATCAAGTTTTTTACATAGAGAAACCACAATTTACCTGTTATACAGCTTATCATAGTTTTCCCTCAAGAGTTCATTTTCTTTTTCTAGATCATTTATTCTCTCCTGTAGCTAAAATGAAGAAGGAAGTTTTAAGCAATGCACAGCACAAAAGGAAATGACAGTGAATGTGTATAGACAATTAGTTAATAATTTGTAGGCATTGTCAGTCTTTTAGTTGTTCTTTTTATACAACAGTCTCTTGAAAGCTTCAAAATAATACTGTTTTTCCACACATGGATTTACATTTGGCCCAGACAGTCTTTTTCATGTTGTTTATATGACTCTGAGACTAACATGTCACAGTTTAACAACAGTATCTAATCACATTCTGCCTTATGCAAAAATAAAAACGTAAAAAATATAAAATCCATAGCTTTAAAAATTTTTATTTCCATTTTGGTATTAGTATTAGCTAGTTAATGACTCCTGTAAATATTTTTTATAGACCTTATAGAAACAACAAGTCCTTGCTTTCAAAATACTCACTAAAGCAGGATATGGTATTAAAGATACAAGATGCTTTGACCCAGCAGGTATACCTTTACGTGCATTAGAGTAGTTTAAAGGTTTGGAGGAAATATCTACGAGGTAAATGTGGTCATGTAAAATACGTTCAAAACAAGTAATCATGTGGTAAAGCTAAATTTAAGTTGCTACAAAATGTAAGAAAAATAAGTTTGTAGACTCTTACTCCTCATATGATGAAGAGGATGAGGAATTAAACACTTGATTTTTAGCCCTATATGTGGGTGACTGTTAGTGATGACACTAGTCTCTGAGAGCCACTAGACAAAGAAATAGAAGTGACTGATTTGGACTACTGAGTAAGATGTTACACTATATTGTACTGTAATTAAATCAGGTTGAAATAATCCTAAAAAACTAGCAATATGTGATCAATAAATCAAGTATTACAATTGTTTTCTGGTTAACAAACCACTTGTTTAGTATCAAAATTGAAATGAAATCCTATGCTTTAACCTCAAATATTGTCCAAACACTGGTGCAGTGATTATGTGGCGTGGAGAGCAGGTATGGTTCACGATTCAGTGAAATGCAAGCAGCAGCCACAGGTTTTTCTTTTTAATGGGATAAAAGTATATTACCAGATCAGTCTTCTAAATTTGTTTGAAAGGTCTATTCACATCTCTGCAACTAAAAAGTATCCCACCGTTAACTTTTCCATTATCTATGTGTACTACCTAGAGCAGATTCTAGCTCTCTTGAACACAATCTCACCTCCTCTGTCCTTCGGTTTGAAATAGTTACTGATTGCAATTCTTTTTCAAGATGGAGGCACTTCAACCGCTCCTCTCTAAGCTGTAGATTCAATTCATCACCTTTTGCTATTAGAGCATCATGGCTGGTCTTGAAGTTCTTTTGATTCTATGTAAGGGAATGAAGAAAAACAAACCCGGGGAGGGGGGGGTGGGGGGCGGAAAAAAAAATCACACTTAGTATAACGTTACAACACTGCATATTCAGCCAGTGGTCTCTCATGACAGCAATTATTATATATTCTCAATGTGGTCAACAGGAGACACTCTTGAACTAAGTAACTGAAAGCAACTTTCAATACGCATGGTGAGGAGAAGGTGGCATTCTTGTTGCTCTCATGAACATTAAACCCTGAGTTTAGTCATGATGAAAGCGACCAAGAAATACATCTGTTAAGCAATTAAAAGATTTTGCTGTGGTTACAGTGGTTAGACATGCTGACCAAAAACACTGCAGTAGCAAGCAAAAATGCATGTTGACCACAGTTATGTTAATCACAGAGCTTGCCACAGCTCTGTTAACCCTTAATTGTATATATGTAATTGTTTCATAATCCTAATACACTCCGTTATGTTTCCCTGCTAGCAGTAATTTAACGTGGGACCTATGATTTCTTTTACATTTTAATTTACTTCAATGGATTATATTAAGGCATATTTAACCAATTTTAATATTAAATGGAAAGTACTGATAGAACCTCTATTTCCAGATTATTAATTAATATTATATTGCCTGCATTCCACAATGCTTTAGTAAAGCCTCATTAAGAATTTCAGTGTAAATCACAAAGTATGACTCGAAACAACACAGTCCCAAAGCCAAACTCCTGTTTGATTATATGAAAATTTATGTCAAATACATGTATCAGTATAGATAATGTTTAACGACTGTAGACGGAAAAAAAAGTTAGCTTCATTTTTTCCATATAATATACCTACAAAGTAGTTAAATGGAGAAGCTGAATGTGAATCCTGTACAAATTGTTTAGGTTCACATGCAGTCTGAATGTCATAGAAACAAACACCCCACAGAAAACCCAATCACCAACCTGATCATCAGCCTTTCGTATCACATTTCTCAGTAAGAAAAATATCATGGAGAATAAATAATATTAGTAGTCAGTCTTATTTCAGAGAGATAATGAAGTATATTACTCATCAAGTTTTAACAGACTTTCTTCAGTGCTCTTCTTGTTCTGTCCTATATATGTGAACTGTATTTTAATAAATTCAGAAAACACCACCTTAAAAACCTTTCTTTTACACTCTTAATTTCTCTCAAAATTGCTTTCCTTTCTCCTCAAAATCAGAATCCTTACTGTCTCTAACCCTTCCAAGTGTCCAAGTGAATTCATCTTTTCCTCTCCATCTCTCAGCTTCAATTTTTTCCCGAAGTTCTTTTCCATTTCAATAACTCGTGTCACTTTAGCCCATGACATATGAAGAAAAAACCCAAAACACCACCTTGGCAAAGCTGCCTTTCATAGACCATTTCATTCTCATCTCTTTCCTTAATTTTCAAAATAGCTGAAAACAAATTCAGTCATATTTATTCTACTGAACCATCTCATTAAAAGCACTAAAAATATCCTCCTGAAAAACCTCCTTGCTTCAACTTCATTCTAGTGCCTCCTGTGTCTCTGCTACTCTCCTGATCATTTTGTATTAACTTTCTGAGAAGCATGACTTCACCCTCATTACTATTATTTTTTTTCCAAAATGTATTCTTTACTTGGATATTCTTCTATATCTGAGTGTTCTGTCAGCACTATTTTTCCATTATGCTCAAACTGTTTTCTATATTGCTCTTCCTGGAGCATCTCAAGACTCGGGTCATGTCAATAATTGGAATAATGATTTCAGATTTATATTTATAGTCTGGAATTTTGTTTCTTTGGGAAACATGCCTTGATACTGTTGTCAATTAGAAATAATTCATTCAAAGAAAACAGATATATACCTCCTAGAAATATTGTACAAATGAACATAAACTGCTCTCAATTACTGTTGTGAAACTGTTGTACCAATTGTTCAAAATAATTAGCTGTCTATAGTATTTTAAATTATAGTGGCACAGGTTAGCATATTTCATATTACTAATAATTAAATCCTGAATGTTCAGTCTGTAATTAAACCAAATATACCAAGGCAATCAATTATATAATCCAAATAGTTTCAGGGCCCTTTGTTCTTCTAAGCAGATTGCAGTTTCTTCGTTCAACTGGCGACATTGAAGTTCTTTATCAACAAAGCTGTCCTGTAAATGTTCGGTAGCAAGCTCAACTTCAGTATCATTAGATGGAACAGGGTTATAGGCTCTTAACATTCTGTGGTTTCACATTTTGGGCTGACTCAAGTTCAAAGACGAACATGGAGGAATTATATGGGTTTCAATTGGTAGAAGCTTAAAGTAAATGATAATGAACTCAATAGGCATAAAAAACTTCAAGATAAACATAAAAATGTGCTCTGTTGATAAGTACTTTATGTGCCATCTGCACTAGAAATTTTGTATTTTACAGTTATTCACATTTAGTAGATACATGTTTCAAAAATTCAAATGACTGGAAATGGGAAAACCATTGTATCCATTATCGTGTGTAGAAAAAAAAAATAATAAAAGAGACAGAGAACACACTCATCCTTTGCAAAAATGCAGCTTTCACTGTGAATATTAGAAACAATGTCTTCAAATACCAGTTTAAATCCTAGGCATGTGTTTCTATTCAGCTGCTGCCAAGAAAGAAGCATAAGTACTTGATGTTTGCTGTAAATTACCAAAAAGTTGCATATGATTTAAAATGGAACAGTTTACTTATCTCTTTCTATTTAAGAACACAAAAATCCATGTGAAACCTCTCTCTCCTGGAATTTATATTCTGTGTAGCTCACCATGTGAAAAATTAGATTTGAGCTACTAACAGAAGAGCTGCTTTGGCAAAGAAGATATAGGTATTACACTGAAGTGGGGGAGGCTAGCAAAGCGATGCAAAACACAGAAGCTGAAAAACATGGGAAAAAAAGGATCACAACCAAACTCTAATGGCATGAGTATTATTTAACATGCTAAAATAACAAGAAGCAGGCAGCAATAAGAGTTTACAAGGCTATCTGGTGCTTCTACCTCACAAGGCTAAGATACTTAATAAAGCTCTGTTGCATGCAGGATTCCTACTCACAGGAACTCTCACACTTCTAAGTTATTATCATACTATCTCTATCTGTATGCATGTGGAGTTGTCCAAATACACATGGGAAAAAGCAGAAAAATGCTGTATAACTAAAACCTATATAGAATTTACCATGCAGTTGCATCTTCTGGTGATATTTTAATAAAATTTCTCTGTTTATAAAGAAAAATCTATTGCTGTAGGCCTCTAAAATGATTTCCACAAATTTATGAACACAAGTTAAGTCCTAATGTCAGAACTCTAAACAGCCAAACCTCCCTAACTTTATCAAAGACTGATAAAGTAAGGGTGGTCTGGTACCCCTTCGTTGGTAAATCAATGTATTTCAGGCATAGCCTTCTCTTTAAATGATCAGGAATCTCTTTTGATAGCCAGACAACTCAGTTCACTCTCCACAATCTGCCTGGGATGGCTTTCCAAATAAAATCTGTAAGATCTGCTAGACCCTTCTGAAAAAAAAAAAAAAAAAAAAAAAAAAAAAAAAAAAAAAAAAAGACTAAAAATAATCCTTACACATTTGGAGTAGCTTGGGTGCAATGTATTACATGGTTCACTTGCATGTACTCAGCACTGACTCAGAATCAAGAACAGTGTATATTCAATTTCCATTTATACACGCTTATGTGACAAGAGTAAGAGAATGTTACTGACCAAATTGCAATTACCTCTTGAAGCTGGAGAAATTTTTTTTCCATTGCTGTAAGAGCATTGCTTTTCTCAACCAGCTGTTTACAGACCTTGATCATTTCCACATTGTCCCGGATGTTTAACCTTCAAAATTGTATTAAAAAGAAATGCATCATGAATTTAAAGATACAAAACTAATTATCTTATTATTACTGTTTTGAAAAGTTTAAATCCTTTGCAAATCAGCTTTCCACAACACATTTGGGAGAAGGCTTTGTATGGAAAACCTAAATTAATTTCTTCTATAAACCACATTACAGAATTTAGATAAACAAACATTCTACCACATGATGACATAGCAGCTTCAACCAATACATATACATCTTTGTTTATTCTATCAAACCATATATGACAGGAAGAGAAAACAATCCTGTACCTAAACAGATTGTTTTTCATTCACTACTTTTCCACTCTCCGAAGTATGTGGTGCCATTAGGTTACCGTTTCATCGAATTTCCTCTTAGAGTTTAAATTTATCAAATACTGATAAGAAAAAGTGATTTAGCAATTTATACTATTAACACCTTAAGGCTGGCATTCAGAAAAGCTGCAGATATGTCTTAACTGCATAGAAATCACTTAATATTCATGTAGATGTTCTATATCGTTACAATTCTAAGATTAATTTGAGAACATACTGTTTAATAGAAAGGATGTTTGAAATTATTGAAAATTTAAATAAATATTTATTTAGATGTTTTCTCTTACTTCAAACAGTGAAATTAAATCCCATTATTTTCATAGTGTCTTCAAGCATGGGAAGAGAAACCAATTTGGAAGTGTATTAATAAAAAATATGATAAAATCAGAATAACCCTTTAGCATTAGAAAAGGTAATTTTTCTTCCAGTATTTATCTATTTTAGACATATTGGGCAAATTGTCACAATGCCATGCTGGAGCAAGAAAATGGACTACAAAGCTTACACATCTGTAAACCAGCTGAGTACGTGAAATACTTCCCTTTTATTCTGTAAAATATCAAATCCTATTGTGCTTTGGCATTGCCCAGTTAATTGTCCTTATACAGAAGATAAACACACTCACAAACCTGAGATCTTCCCCAACAAACAGCTCTAATGCAATGCTAAAACTATCATGTGTCTAAAACATGTTATCTACATAAATTAAAGTTGTGGTGAGTATAGACAGCAGCACTGTCTCATGCTAGCTATTTAAAAGCTAATGTAGTGGCACGTTTTTATTAATCTTGTTCCACACATCAAACAAAAGGCTCTGATGCCTTCAAAGGCTTTTTTTTTTTTTTTTCTTTCTTTTTTTCTCCCCCTTCTTTTTTAAGCAGGGGGATTGTTTTTTTCTTTTTTTCTTTTTAAGTAGAAAAAGGAGCAGATGATATTGAAATTTATGATGTACAGATGTAAACCCCATGGCTCCTGACAATCAACATTAACTGGTTTTTTCAACAGTAAATGAAACAGCATTTGATTTAAACAGGTTTGGGGTACTGATATTATGAAGTAAATTATTCAAATTTGGAATTGAATAATTACTTTCTACTGGGATCATTTCAATTCTACAAGAGTATTTACCTCATGAAGTTTCTACCTACAGAAAGCATGTGCAATTAATTTCTTATTAGTCCATTACATCAATCACAATATCAGCTCTCATTATAGGCTAGAGCAACAAAATTATTTGTCTACAGTACTTCTAAAATATTTTATTTATTTATTTACATAAAATATGTCTAAGACATGTCCAGTGCATCTAGGCACATGACAAAGAGCTTGCTGTTGATGAACAAAATCATTTCACATTTTGTGGGCAAGGCAAAGTCAATTGAGGAAGAGTCTGTTGAGAAGATGGATTTTTTTCTATAAATGAAGTCACAAAACAGTATAATAGAATAGAAACTGATTATCTACACAGCTTTCTCCCTCCCAGGTAGTTGGTGAATTCTGCTCCCAGAGCATCTGCCCAGGTATTCTGATATAACTTAAAAACAGGGGGTATATACAGATTTGATATAAAAGTCCATGCCATCATTCACTTAAATAGATAATATTTTGCTCAAAGAATAACAAAATTATGTATAAGAATATATCCAGACTAAGAGAGCTCATTCAATATTTTCTCTGTTGCCAAAAAGCCAAAAAATCTACCACAGGACCTGAAGACATGGAGATAAACCCAGAGCAGAAGTTAGAAAAAGAAAAGGAGCTAATATCCCTTTTGAGGCAATAACCTGAACAAATGGCATACTGATTTAACTCTAGCACACCTTCTACCAAAAAGGCAGAAATAAGGAAATGAACTCTATTCTTCCACTCTAAACCTCATCTTAAAGCTGGATTAAAAAGTCTGAAATTGGAAATGAAGTTAGGAGAAAGTGACTCTTTCAAAAGCTAAGAATTATGTTTGGGGTTAATGTCTGAAGTACACCAAAGAGACAATCTCTTTTCCAGACCTCTTATCATTTGGATTAAAAGCATATAGAGTGGGGTCCCAATAACAGGCTGGGGACCAGCTGTGTAGGAATGGGGGACTGATAGCAACCTACACCAGAAGGAAATGATTAAAGAAAGGATCTTGACCTGCACTGTACAAATTCATGCCAGTAAATCCCAGATGGCTAAGCTAATAAAATTGAGGTCTAATTAAACCACATCCCTTGCATCTTGTCTTTGCTTCCATATGAGAAGGACATGGATACAATACTGAGACTACTCTTAGAGAGTCCTGACTATTGTATCAGCTGGACTAGTGGCTCACAAACTTTCCCCGTTCACATTCAGAATAAGAAAAACAAGCAAGTAAAAAAATATCACCACCATACTTCTCAGGACTGTTCACCCTCTCTGGCAAAACAAACAAAAGGTTTCTAGGATAATAGTTCTCAATCATAAATGCACCAGTGGCCAAGATAGATACATAGACTCCCAAGAAGAGAACTAAAGACTAGAACATCAATGAGCACTACTCTTCTCATTTTACAATGCTTAGGAACTAACAGGATTATATGTTACTATACATTATGTTCTTTCCTTTGCCTCTTATTTCTTATAGGAAGTCGAACATAAAGGGGAAAAAAATCCCAAATATTTACCTTCTAGTAGCACCTTTATGATGAAATGGATAGTATATTTGCAGTAAGCAAAACATTAACATTGCATCAATAGCTCTAGCATCTAAATTATTAAGATTATTTAAATACCAATATAAAAGTCTTTATTTGTTTGCCTAGCTAAATATCTATCTACAAATGAAACTGGTTACTTCCCTACAAATCTTTAGGGAAACTGGTTAAATATGAAAAATCAGGTATGGAAATGCAAATATAAGGTTGCCTTTTTTTATAACAGACATGATTAAGCAAATTTGTATACATGCTGTGTGGCTCTCAAAACCCTTTGGATAATGTGTTGTGACCAACATGTTCCACATTTTAATGTAGGTCTGTAATGCTATAATGCAAACACAGGAGTCATGGGTGTGTTAGATATGATACTTCTGTCCAAACTTCCACACATTTAATAGGCTTAATTCCAAAGTCATGTTGCAGCAAAAAAATGCCAAAGGAATTAAAACCTGACTAGCAAATAAGTTCTTTCATTAAAAAAAAAAAATAAAAATAACCAAACAAAACCCCAAACCCCACAAAAATGTGAAAATACCAAACACCTGTTTCATAAATGCACTTTGGGGTGGCTTTAAAAATGTGTTTGCAAAGTAGCATGAGCAATTAAGTCATTTGAAACTAGCTGCTTGCAAAATGTGATTGTTTAGACTTAATGTTTTAACTTGTGCACTGCGTATCACAGACATCAAACCATGAGGTTATTATGGTTTTGACCATCTTTAAATTAAAAACAGTCAAGCTAAATGCAGTTAAATTTTGTACTTAAGAAAATGTGTTTAGTCTAACAACCCACAGGCCAAGTTTCTCCCTTAAATCAGAATTAACTCAGGATTACCTATTCCTGAAAAAATCCCCAAACAATCACTAATGAAATATTGAATAAAACATTGATTGCAGTCATGTTACAATAATCATCTCAAGGAGTACACTGCATATGAACACAGCTTTGCTATGTAGCTCTCGTGTTGTTATACAAAAACTGTAGAGAAGCTGCAAGGGCAGCTTGAAAATATTACTGGATTTCTTGTGGGTATAGGACTCAAGAGAATTAGTACTTCCCTCCCTTACCGCCTATGGATCAATGATTATTAATTATGGCTGCTCCATTACTTGGAAACTACAGTTATTTCAATCACAAGAATTTCTTAATCATGTCGCAGAATAAAAGATGTTTTCCTGAAGGTTGAAAGTAACGTAATTCTGTTAACACCAGGATGAGGTCAAACCGTGCTACAACATGAAGATCGGTGGAAGCACATTTATTATGTCCTCTGTGGCACCATACAGTTCCTAAAGAATTTCAACAGATAACTGTCTTTGGGTAGTAATGTAACTAGATGATAGCCAAATATATTCTTATAAAACACAAGAATAAGCTGCAAATTGTGTGAAAATTCAAAGACAAACTACAAAGATTAAATAAAATGACATTATCAGTCACCAAATTTCAAATTTTTCATCCAAGATTCCAGTATTGACAGTTTGTTCTCTGCTGATGCAAAGATTAAAAATAAGAATTACATAGGACCTATAAATCTATCTGTGTAATAAAACAACTAATACAGACTGTTCTAGATAGCAGTTATAAGACTTCCAATAAAGTAAGCTAATGAAAATCTCCTAAAAATAGTATGTACGGGTACCTATAGTTACAGTTAAACCTGGAGAGAATAGTATCCCTCTAAGTTCTAGCTCTGGTTCATTCAGCATAAAAGAAAAATAACTTGAAAACATGGGGATTAACAGCCTTCCACACAGTATTCTAGTGGCAAAATTACAGAACACACACTACTCTAGATATGTACTACTAGATGTTTTTCAATTTCTTTCCCAGTGTCTTCAAGCACAGTAACTTTTAAATACTTAATGCACCATTTTATCAGGTTTCAAACATGAAATAGACTATAAAGGAAATACTTCCAGAACTTCAAACATGAATTCACAGATTAGGTCAAGTATCATGGATTGTATCCATGTAATTTGATAAACATAAATAAAGGTCTGTACTACTTTTATAGCCTAACTTTATTTAAGAATTTTTTTAGCCGAATTTCAAATGTATCTTTACTTTAAAACTCCTTCAAAATTTCATAGAAATATGGTAGCTGACATTGAATTTAGGTGTTATGTTCAGTTTCTGCTTGCTGTACTTAAAGAACAGTGTTTGTCTATAGAAAAATGAAGCACAGTAGTACTTGGAGTTTTGTATCAGATTATTTTCAAATAATGAAAAAAAATCTTAAATATTTTCTGAATTCACTGTAGACATAGATTGAGAAATTATTTATGATAACAACTTCTTGAACCTATTTAAACTACATAAAGGAAATACTGAATAGGGGAGACTTATGACTTTGTAAATAATGTAATAGCAAACATTATGATGTATTATTTATGTAGTGCCACTGATGCACAAAAGAATGCTCACACATAATAATGGGGTCCCTAGCTTGAAAGGCAGTTAAAGAACTCATCCAAGTAGAACTTTCATTGAAATCAAATGAGTAAGGAATGCAGGATCATACCATATTAGATCCTTAATACAATTAAATGCAACAGGCTGAAACTGAAACAGTCAAGAGGGAAAATATATGCAAAATTATATAATTTTGCAAAAGTGAAAAAAAAAGAAAAGAGATTAAACTAATCAAGGCTTTATTGTTAAACACATTTTGCAAGCCTGTTTGACTGTTTCACTGCAGAGATATACCATATAGCTTTCATAATTTGCTAATCCACTCTCACAGGGCCATTATTTTTCTACTATTTGTCGAGTCCAAATTATCAATGAGTATAAATGAACATTAAATTACCCACTCTGAACCTATATCTAATATTTTCTAAGAAATCTATTGAAGAAACAATACATGATTAAAATTTCATGAATTAAACTTCAATTGAATCTGAATCAGCTGGAACTGAGTTCTCTAAAATGGTAATCATGAACTTCTTTCTTTATTTGTGAAAAAACATAACCTATTATCGTAACAATCTCCTTGATTAGAACTACCCATGACTGTTTGGTAAAATGTTTTATGACTTAGTTTCACCAAAGGGACAAAAAGATGAATAAAAGCAAGTATTTCTTAACACAACAAGTAATTTTGACAACTATATATAAACATGATGACTCTTCTAGTGCTTCTACCATGGTGATTCCATTTTTCACAATACCTTTGGCTTGTTGTTTCTTGCTTCTTCAGCTGTAGGGTGGATTCTTCAATTTCTTTTCCTTTCCTTTTTAGCTGACTCACAAGTAGCTCTTTGGCATGTTCTAGCTCATCAATGTGCTCCCTTTGGGACTCAATCACAGTCTCCCTGCAAGTACAAACTTCTTACATTCCAAAACCAGATAAGTATTTAGTAAAAAAAAAAAATTAAATGAACACTCAAGAAAGCAAAACTTTTAAGTGTTCAGCAAAATTTGTATTTCCCAATGACATGCATCACAACAGAGGTTTAAGAGTTCAACTTACTATGGAAATAATTAGACACCACCACATGAAAAGATGGAATAATACAATATATAGATAAATAATTCCAACACATTATCAAATGCAACGCAAACTCTTAAAATAAATGTTTATGTGGACTGAATTACGTTTAGCAGAACCTAGCCGAAAACATTGTTTGTGGTTTCTCACACTGCATAGTAAAAGTATCCTCCTCCTAATCCATTAGTACTAAGTGTTTTCTAAAAAGAAAAACGCCATTACCAGCTATCAAAAGCATATGAGATCTTCATTGGATGGAGCAGTCAAAGTAATTTTTAAGCTTTTATTCTGAGTTAGTTAACTTTACACACAAAAAAAATAATAATCAGACGATGTGTCTTTAACACTGGAATTTATCCAGAAAATGCAGTTAGAAAAAAAAAGAAAGGCAGAAAACTATAGAGATCAGAGTCCTAATTCTTCTAGTAGACCACAATTTTGTGATTTTGATTTTCTTAACAAGTTAGCCTCAGGTATTTTTTCCAACAACATTTCTTCAGTAAGAATAAGCAACAACTCATCTACAATTTTTTTCCATTCTAAAGCTTTTGATGCAGAAGCTGGAGTTCTTCATTACCTCATAAACCTATCGTAGACTTAAAAGTACCTTAAGATTTTGGCCATCAGTTTGTTTTTGTACCTGAGTGAACCATTCTGAGCAACTACAGTTAGTTTTTTCATCTCTATGAGAACTGAAATCTCTGAGAAATTAAATGTCTGAAAAAAAAAAAAGCTATTTTAATGTTTTCTGTATTGTAACACAATGTTTTTGATCAGTCTTAGAAGAAAAGCTGTTGTGAACACCAAGATGCATGGCAGTCTTTATTCTCCCGGTCTTCAAAAGCAATAGGTATAGGAGAAATAGCCCTTTCTAGGCCCATCACTATAAAATTACTAAAGTTTTTTTTTCAGTAACAGCATTCTATTATACTGCAATTTATTTTTCTTTTAAATTCTAACTGTTCAGCAGGGTTAAACTCAGACAGGATGCTAGCAAGAGTGCAATTTCAACACTGTTAAGTAATTTAATATTTATTAAAATAATTTATAAGAATAAGTCTGCAAAATTATTTTCTACAATGCCACTATATCATTGTGTTTACAAGACTTCAAGCACAAAATACATACCTGCATATTAATTCATGTATTTGTACACTTAGCTTGCCCATTTATTGAAAATTTAGCATTTACAGATACCATAGTAAATCTGATTTAGGTAAATCATTATGGAAAGAAACACACATATGTAAAGTAGCTTCTAGAAAACCAGATGTCTAAAAAGCGTAATAGGTTCTGATATTATCTGGAGAAGAAAAATGGTCTAACCAGACCTTTATCTTTGAAGTAGAGGCTAACTACCTTTTCTCCACCCTATAGAACCTCTCTGTTCTCATGGAATCTCCACATTAAGGACATTATCAAGACTTCCCTGAGCTTCAATTTCAGTTAAAATGTGCAACTGGACTATAAACCAACTTTCAAAACACGGGAACCAAAATCATTTTACGTTACTATCCCATACTGCGCTTTCTGTAACTTATCCATAAAATCTGATCACCTCTGGAAATGAGGTTTAAATGCATTAGTGTAACACATTCAATACAGTCACCACTTGCATGGGTTATCTCACATATTTTAGGAGTTATGTTGGTAATAATTTTGCACCTAAGGTTCTTCCTGCTTTTGTCAGTTTAGTCCAGTAGTAAGCTAGGCAGCATTGCATTCTACCAAAAAGAGAAGCTCACCATTGAAGATCAATTTTAACTTCCAGCCAAATTCTTACATATCTACATTTTGCATTCTAAATCCCTGATTGATTGTTTTCCTTATCATAAAACACTTCTGCATTACCAGTGTTACTGTTGTCAGATCCAACAGTTTGACTTTAATTTCTGAAGTGAAAACTGAAAAATGTATTTTTTTCCTTCAATAAAACCACAAATTTTAACAATTATGATGACAAAAATTAAGAAATATGGAGATCATACAGATTCCTTATTTCAGCCTTTGGATCCTCAAGCATAGTCTGTTCATATATTGGGAGCACAAAGTTAGGTGATCTCACTTCTGAATCCTGCAATCTCATTCCTGAAAACAAAGAAAAGATAAATTTTTGTCATGCCAAATGAAAAAGCATTTAACAAAACAACAATCTCTATATACAGTACAAACACAACTTCCATATAGATGCCATAAAAAGTATTTTTACAACAAATTCACATGGAAAGAGAAAATCAGGAGTACCTACAACAAAGCTGCTGTAAATTTTGAACTATGGGTAATACAGCATGCACTGTTAAAGAGAAGTGTTAAAAACATGTCTTGAAATGTTTTTCTTAGAAGATTTTACTTTTAAAGACAGAGAACAGAGATGGCATCTTCAAAGAAGAACAATATCAATATTATTAAACAGGAACATGGACATGTAATCACTTTTTCTCTGATAGCACTTCCTTTACAGTCAGGAGTGTCATTCACCTAGACAAGTAACTACAGGACCATTTTTAGCAGCAGAGCAAATAATTTCCTTATGTTCTTTAGAAGCATAGTAAGTCTCCAGTAAAGAAGTGAGAAATTACTTAAGGAAGAATTGTTGGTTGAGGAACAAAAGTAATGGTTTCTCCAAATTTCCTTCTCCTACTTCTCTTTCTTCAGCAAGAAGAAATCAATGGAGTTTTGAGGTGGGACCAATCTATCCATTAAATTTCAAATATAGTATTAAGGCTGCCATCCCTCAGTCTCTAAAATTAAGTCATTTAGGTTTACAATACAATAATACGAGCAGATTCACAAAATGACTGAAAAAAATTTACCTACTTTGCATTTGTGCTGAGTTAACTCGATTTATTTATATATTTTGAACTTTGATCTTTAAGTATTATTTTAAAGTATCGGTAACTGTGTTATGTACATATATGTGCATATGTGCCTAGAATATTTATTTTTTATTTATTTTTGTTGAAATCATGATATAACTTAGATGGTTGTACTCAAAGAAAGTAATGAGAGAAACCAGTGAGTATTTAGTGAACTATTTATACCTGACCACATCTTTTGTATCAGCTTGCTACAGTATCTGTACATCAGCCAAACACGAAGCAGTATTTATCATTTTTGAACTCTTCTTGCCTCTTCATACCCTGGAGACAGCTAAGGTCTCCTGAATTTTCCCAAGCATTTTATTTTTGGACAATTGTTCTGAAAATTTTCTGATATGCACTAAAAATGTTTCAAGATTCAGTCTCATGGTTTCACAGAGCAATCTAGGAGTTCAGTAGTCTTTGGAGACACGAGACACAAACCTGACACCAGACTGCTAGGTTTGTCATCATTAATCAAAAGGGCAGGATGAGAAAACATGCAAGAGAAAAACATGAAACACCCTATACTAACGAATACTATAGAAAATGTTCACTGACCTTCTGGAAGACAACCCCACTGTGTTCAAGTTCTGCGTAGTGGTTACTAGATTTTTAATAACATTCTCCACCCTTATAAAAGTGTGTTGAAGAAACTGCATATTCATAGCACTCAAATTACCAGAATCCCTTCTAGTTTGGACAAGGTCTTAGAACTGAGATAGGTACACTAGAAATTCTGTGAAATTTCTGAAAGTTATTATCTGAAGTGGATGTTTTGTGGACAACTTTTCTTTTTTTTTTTTAATTCCTCATGTTCTCTTCAGTTTAAGAACCACTGCCTCAATCAAACACGGCTCCAGTCCTAGCTCTGCACAGGACATCTTTGATCTGGATCTATTCTTATACCAAGAGAACTCCTCACAGCGTGCCATAACAACATTTGATCTTTAATCCTTGAACCAAGTTGCCCTTTTCTCTCTGCTCACACAGGGCCTGAATAAATTAATTATATTTCTATTCTATTTTTGCATTGTTAGAAGAAACAAACAAAAAAATGACTTTGGAAATAAAACTGCCTAATTCATGATATAAAGTATGAAAACATAGGTGTATTTAATATGTCAAAACCAGCACTATATTCAAATTAAAGAAGCAAATTGGTAGAGCCAATTGCTTCTTCTTGCCTGTCTAAAAACATGACAATTGTTTCTGTTTTCATATACAAAGACCAGTGGGAGGGTGAGATGGAGAAAAAACACAATATAACTGGCTATCAGCTTGATCTATAGCTTATAGAAGTTAAGGAGACAATTCTGCTGACTCAGTTTTGAATCAGGGCCATATCTGTCTTTTTTTTTTTTTTTTAAACACATTATCTGTACAGTGTATAAGCTGAGTACAACTACTTCTACAAATGTTCATATGAAAACAAAAATGTTTGAAAGTGTAATTTCCAAATGCAGCTACCATAAATAAAGAACTGAGAGTGAGACTGCCTTAAGCAGTAAGTCTTGACAGTAAAAAGCATCATTAAAGATGACTGCATTGTGGCATTTGCTTTTGAAAGTCCACACATGTAATAGATTTTTCAAGTCTGCACAGTTATGCACACATGTATCAAGAGACTAGAACAAACCTTGAAATTAAAAAAGGAAAAACATGTGCAAACAAACTACAGATGTAAAACTTTGTTATAACATGATAACGCTAAACTTTTTCATATACCTCTTTTATAAGCCTTTAACGGAAGTCTCATGATTGTAACTATTAGAAAATGTGCTTGATAACTACTTTATTTTCAATTTTGTACTTTTGCTTTAACCCTACCACTGTGAATTCTCAAGATAAGGACTTCAAAGGGAAACACATTATCATGACTGCTATAAATAAATACAAGAAAAAGTGGACAGAACAATCTTTGTGCCTATAGGCACTACTGCCCACTGATGAACAGAAAAGAGTATATACTTGGTACAGTGGAGCAATAATTACTGTGACTTATATAAACCAGTTTTTAATAAATGTAAATTATACCTTTCTTTGCGTGCTCCTGCATGCCAGCAGCCTCACTCACTCTTTTGAGACCAGTGTTAATACGAGGTTGAACATAGCTGTACAGACAAGGCCTATGGCCCTGAATCTGGAGCTGCTGTTTAGTTGAAATGAGTTTACTGCGGAGGTTCTCGTTTTGTTTCTCAAGCTCACGAACTCTCTCTTGCAAATGCTCAATCATTTCTTCCAGCTCCACAGCCTGACCCAGCCGCTTGGGGCCGCCACCAACCTGCTCAGACCTTTTTTTATCATTAACAAGCCGTATTAACTTGGTGGCCATTCTGGGGAAAATAATAAAGAAAGATGAAAAAGAATGTGAAAAGTCAGCATAAAAAGCATTTTGTTGAAAGGAACATAATCACTGTGAAGACTTCAGCATAGAACCTGAATAATAAATTTCAGGTTTTGATATAACTATTACTGCCTGTGAAGAACTCTTTGAAGATAATTGAAACCACTGTGCAGCAATCTGCTTTATAGCACTGACAAATAACAGTTTCCTAAGGCTTATCATTTAAGGTTGGTAAAGGGAGGACACATATTTACTCCATATGCTGCTTAAATGTAATTTTTAACGCATGACCTTATATAGGAACCTCTGCATGCTGTTAAGTAAAGTAACAGATTTGGGATGTGGTGGGGCAAACTATAAAAGATACAATTCCACAAAACATTCAACTATTGAAAGAATGCTAATAATATGCAACATGCCAATGATATATTATTTCTAGGATTTGGGGATTTAAATATATATTTCAGTTCTGAAATGGCTAAAATACATAGGTGGAGATATTTAAGAAGGCACTCCAGAAAGAGAGACCTAATAGCTCTCATTACCATACTCAATTTTATACTTGGTAAATGTTACCAACGTGCTTCAGAGAAGGAACGGTTAGCTGAAGAATATAATTACATACAGAGGGTATGGTTTTCATCTACCTTTAAAAGGATACAAATTTTGCTTTTGGCATCTCAAGAGTTGTACCTTTGATTTCCTTTAGTTTTGATAAACATTGGTAAGCTAGAACAAAAGGCAGAGAGGGCACATGGGGGTGATGTAATATACAGGAACAGAAAACATACCCAGCAGCGAATGGAAAAAACTTGGCATATAAAGAAAGAAAAGGTGGCTTTGATGAGAGAGACAAGTTCAAGACTTTACAAAATTGGTCGCACATCTTCAAGACCTGTATCTAGTTTACAGGGAATCTATTTTTGCAGCCCCAGAAACAAAACTGAAAATAAGGACACACTTCATTTGTTTAAAGGGGCTTGTTTTATTTTTGTATACATGTGGACAGAAGCTTCTACTTAAAAGAACAAAAGTGAAACAAAAAAAATCCATAATAACTTTAGGATGTCACAGAACGTTACTTGCCTGTAAGCAAGTTTTTTGTTTATTCCTTTTTTTTCAAGGTACTTCAACTGCAAATTCATTCCAAACTTTTAGTTACAAGGTTTTGGGATGAGGGATGCTGGGAAAGAAATTTAGCTTAAGGAGTTAAGGTTGTTCTCTGGCAACCTAGACAAACACCGTATTTTATATTTTCTGTGCCTTAAAAAACCTAATGCAGTTATTCCAATTTGGACATTCTGTTTAATTTTACCTAAGTGCATGATGAGTGCATTTGGTAAATCATCTGACAGAAACACAGGAAATGTCATTTGGAGTAAGGAAACAATTCATTTGTTCCACCATCTTGTATTTGACAGTAGCCTGACAGACAAGATGGAAGTTACATCATGCTGGTCAATTTGATCCTGACTCACTGAGTACTGAGTCAAAAGGAAAGAATGTTTTGGACTACAGAAAAGTATAAATAGTTCTATCTACAGAGGCAGTATCTTCCGATGCCCTTTCATGAATTGCTTAGGTTCTGATCAGAAGCCAGCTTAGACACAGCAAGATTTTATTAGCTTAAGTACAGAACGATGTGAACCGAGTCACAGTGCTTTTGAATTCATTAGCCTTCTTGGAGTATAGTAACATCATGAACAGTTCTGCTGACTCCAGCACAGCACTAAGGTTAATCAGAAGCCTGAAGTTGCTTGGGTATGTTTGGGTGCACTGGGTACTGTGCGCCCCATGCTACTTGGGACTCCTTCAAAGAAGTTATCTCTTACCCTGAGTAAAGGAGAGTTGATCATAATTATAAAGATATTCTAGGGTTAACTAGATGATAAAAGGCTAGATGCTACTCAACTTCATAGATGAAAGAGTCACCTATGAAGGGGCAGAATCTCTCTGTACAGGCCATTTTGATTCTAGGACAAAATCCATGAAGCATAATTAGGCTTCTATAGCCTCTTCTTCAGTTCCCAAAATACCTGTCATCTTTGTATTCAGAGAGCATAGCTATGAACCCAAGGTGCTGACTCCACAGTGGTGGATAGCATTGTACCTCTCTGCATGGAAATCTAATACTGTCCACAATATCCCACATACCACAGAAAAACAGAAGTCAATACAAAAATGAATTCCAATGAGTGATTTGTGCTACTGCTTTAATAAGTGCTTTGAGAGAAATCTGCATGATTGTTAATTTGGTGATAATGCTTTATAGGGAAAAAATGTTATTGTGAGATAAAATAAAAACATTAAAACCCATACCTTTTAATTTTCTCTTCTTGCTTATTTGCATGCTGTTTGAGTAAGATGTTCTCATCACGTAATCGAAGAAATCGGTCTTCCAGTTCCTCTCGACTGATTCGTGACACACCTTGTCGAGCTTTTACATTCTGTGTAGCTGATGACTCTACCCAAATCAAGACAACTTTAAATTACATTCAATACATTCAACAACATGTAAATCCAAAGTCTAACTAATTTTGAAATACTAAAAGAAAAGATAATGAGAGTTTTCAAGTAATTTGATATTTTACACTTGTATGGTCTATTGATCATTTTTTTTCAGATTTATTGGCATATTATTCACCTCCTCTTTCCTCCCTCTTACAGATAAAAAAAGTAATTAAAATGATACAGCAAACTGATTACCTACTAGACAACACAGAGGAAATAGTTTATCAAGTAACAAGGTACTGTCAAACACACTACTTAAAACAGTAAGATGATCATTAACACAGAAATGCTTTCTAATCTGTTTCAAAGTTAACATACCCTCTTGAAGCTTGAACAGATTAACTCATCATTCTGTAAATTTACTCAGATATAAGACTAAGCCCAGTAGTTCCATTCTAATAGCAGCTGAGTAACGTATCAGAATTGCATAGTACTTTTGGGTCCCATTTTGTTAAATGGGTCTGGTCTTGTCCTCAATTCAGCAAAAAAGTCCTCTTTTCTTCTGGAAGGATGAACATTATAGCTCAGTGAGATTTCCAGTTTTTAGCATCTCACAGCAACTCCCCTCTTATAACAAGGAACATGAACACAGAATGGGTCATAGTATCTTTCAGAATTTAACCCAGATTTTCAATGGTATTTGAACTTAATTTTGTGAGTGGGAATGTCAGAAACATTTTTGAAAGAAACTAAAGAAGCCATTGATCAAAGTCTATAACTGTAATAAATAGCAGCTGGTACAAACCTTGTAATCCTCCAATTCCAGCTAGAGTTAGACCTACATCTCTCACAGGCAGGTCCCCCACTGTTTCATCAGCTGGAACAGACATGGCTTATCTACGGATAGCAAAATTCAAATGAAAGTCTTCTCCATCTGTAACTTAAATGGCAAGACTAGAACGAACAACAATACATCATATAAAATGAAGAAAAAAAGTAGCAACAGACTCACTGAAATGACAGACTCGTACATTGCTTTAAATGCTCCTATCTCAATTGTATCACTCTGATGACAATCTAAACTTTCAAGTTTAATATTATGCCACTTTTAATCTATGCACAAAATAAGTCTTCTTTGTAATGCCACAGCTCCAATCGTATTTAATGTATACAGAACTAGATTTTTAAAGTTCTAGTTCTGTTGTCTTCAGTAATCTTTGGACTAAGGCCATATTTCTAAGTGCATGTGGGAGGGAGACCTCTGGGGGGGTGTGTATTTTTTTAATTGTTTCTTTGTTCATTTTAAGACAGGTCAAAGCTTAAGGCATCAACTGGTAGATGAGTAATGCCATCTTCCACATTCTGAATGGAACTCTTTGAAACAGAGGTGCTGGGGGTTATGAAGTCATTTCAGTGTTGCCTACCATTCTCTTAGTCTTCTTTCAATCACTGTCATAAGAGAAATTACCTTCTAAGATAGAGACTCTCCTATGAATGATTCTCATAAATCTGAACGCATTTCTTTCTTGAGGCAAAAGAAAGCTTAGTTACATGACAAAATGAGATTAGGGAAGTATTAATGTGAGAAAGTGCTATATTTGTTTCAGTGTAATATATGAAGACATTTGTTAACAACTACTGTTTCTCTCTTCTCTTACAGTAAAGAAAATTAGATGTTGACCATAGAGTCCAGTAAGTCTGAAACAGCATGAAAAGATAGACACGAAGTCCTTTGGACAGTCTTTTTTCCCCTGTTGTTATAGTCTCTAGGTGATTTAAATCCTTAGTGAACCCCAAAACATCTAGGAATGCATTAGGAAATTAGCAGTGATGCCCTGCATCAGAGGACAGAAGTGATGCAGTATAATCCACAGACATTCCATGAAGTATCTGTTAATTTTTCATAACCTAAACTGCTGCTAAAGATATGTCTTTCTTTTACCAGTAAAATCTTCTATCATAAACAAGTCTACTTATGGCTTTGTCCAAAAGGAATGAAAAGGATTAATGGAAGTTTAGTTTCCTATAAGGCAATCTCGCTTCCCATCTTTTGCTTTTTTTAATCCCTAAAATTTAGGATAAAGTATTATTTTCAGCTTTCACTGTTTATAACAACCTGAACACATCTTTGTTTTGTGTGGAACAAATGCTTCCTTGCCATGACTGTTGAAATGGCTGCACTGGTCTACACTTGTAGATTAGCAGTAAGGTTCCTGTTTCAACGCTGTCAGTCACAGAAATGGAGAATACTACTTTGGGATGCTGAGGTCCATGGCATGTGGCCATTGTAACCAATGGCACAATTCTAATGACAAATACATATCAACTGGAATCCAGCTCCTCGGTGTTCTCAGCTCTTTTTGTGTTATTCACACAAATCCCTCAAAACTTTTTTGTAATTTGTTAAATTAGTGTTATCTGCAGTCATTGACTTCATGCAGCTCTAGGTTCATTATTGCGGTCAATATTACATGTCACTGTATCAGGATCACTACAGCAACTGAGATTAAAGTCAAAGAGAAACCTTTACTTCTAGATGATCAGTCCAAATTTGGTTCATGATGGTAGCAAGAAGATGAGGCTGCCATTATACATCTTCCTAGAATGTGGTTGTCTTGGTCTCCACAAATCAAAAAATGACAGGGCTTTTAGGCAAATTTCAGAGAGGTCAGGAGCTAAATAATATTTTATCAGCATGATTCCACAACATTTGTGATCTATCAAAATCAATCTTCAACAACTCTACCACAATAATAGGCACAGGCAAGCATTACTGGTTTTCACTATTTGCCACTTGCTAAAGAAACTTTGCTATGGATATCTGCCTGTTAGTTTCAGTGTGAAAGAAGTCCATTCATTTAAAAAACAAAAACAAAACAACACATGCTTGTCCTTCAAATAAACAAACAAACTCCACCCCTGCCAGTAGTAATCCATTAGCGGCTGCAGCAAATACACACAGAAATATTGAAGTTATAAGCAAACAAACATAGAAGGGCTGTACCTGAAAGCCAGTTTTTACTGGCAACATGACATGAAGACAAGTGACAAAATAAAGCTCAATAAATCTAAAGTCCCAAAAACTTAGAAAAGTGAAATTTTCAAAAGTAAAAGGAAGAATCAGTTGTTTCATTTTCATTACAAAGTGATGGAAATTAAGTATTCAGCTTTCTTTTCTGTCACAGGAAAAGTAAACAAACAAACAAACAAAACCAACACAAATGAACTGTTTTTATGAAAAGAGTGCTTTTAGATAGAAATAGTACAACCCTGCCTTCTGCTTTTAGGGAGGCAAAATATAATTACAGACTTAGAATTTATTTGCCTCATTAGTAACATAAGAACTACCTATGTCTTTAATAATCACCAGCAATCATCATTTATGCTTCTTCAGCAAGAGACCTCAACAGCAAATCATGTGTTACATATGTTACAGTTACTTTTTGAATATTACCTATGTGTCAATCACAAATGCTGAAACAAAGTAACTTTCCTTACACTCAACAGTTGCAACATTATTTCTGAAGGCTTATAAAATTTCTCTACCAAGTTCCATATTACTTGTCTGGAAAGCATTTCCAAAGTGATTAAATATGACAAAATTGTACAGAAACACTGCTACAAAAGTGATTGTCCCCAAGAGTCCAACATTTCCTAAGATAAAGCATAATAAAGCAAACAAGGTATAAACTTGTATATGCATCTGGACAGATCCACGTGCCATGCTGAACTTCAACAACTTAAAACGGTTTTTATTTCCAAGAGAGGTTACCCTACAGTCACTTTAGCACTTCTTGTTCCTAAAAAATAAGAAAAAAAGAACTTCACTTACAAAGAAAGGGAAGTTTTCCATGTCTGTGGGATTAATTTATAATAATTTCGAGTTTGGTATAAGCAGGAATTTTAGATATATTTACTGAAGTTAATGAAACTGTAGCTTTCTTATACACTGCACTACTCACAAAACTGGTGCTATCACCACTTGTATCTGACACATTACTATAAAAAACTTCATACAAGTTTGCAGTGTTATGCAAGACCAGATAGTAATAAGCATGAATACTTAAGTATCAAAGCTTATGTTTTAGGTCAAAATTCTTACATAAATCTCAGAAGCACACTGTTCTCCCAACATCATTCAAACGTAGCATGTAGCAAAACTGAGGAGGGATTACTTAAATTTCCAAAAGTTCTCAGGCAGCGGGGCTAGAAAGGAGTTTCTAGTAAAATCTTAAAAGTTACAACACTTAATTGTTAAAACATGGATTGAGAATTTTGTGAGTCTTGGCTGTGGCCAGGACGATGCTTTCCTTACAAAATCCTACCTCATCTCTCTGGTAGATAGGAAATAAAATAAAATAAAATAAATAAATAAAAAAAAAAGGCAGACCACCCACCTATCTTAGCCTATCACAAAGTATTTCCAGCCTACATTCTTCCTCTATTGATTCTTTAAAGACAAACGTTTGCACTCTACTGGGCTTGTCTTCTAAAATAATCTCATTTATTATTTGGTAGGAGTATACATATATATCATCTTTCAAACATTATCTGTTGCAGTGTTGTGAGTTTTAGGAGGCGGAAAGGAAAAAAGGAGAGAAAGTATGGAAGATATTAAGAAATGAGATCATAACATCCTGCTGTAGTCTGAGGGAGGAAACACCTCTCAGACCTCTAAATCCTAGTGCAACATAGAAAAACCAAAACAACCGTGTCTTGCCTTCAACATATTTTACAAGTGTTTTCCAAATTTTTCTTCAGCCCTGACAATAACTCACTGAAGGGGGCAGGGAGAAAAGGTAGCGCTTGCCTCCTGAAGGAACGCCTACACTTGCCGCGTTTTCCCGCCCTCGGGCACAGAAACACAGCTCCCGCCTGAGCCCAGCACGTTTTTGCACACGTAACGGAGGTCACAGCTGAGGCGGGCTGCAGGGCTACTTTAAAACAAACAAATAATAAAAAAAAAAAAATGGTGAGGCAGCCTGCCTTTCCCCCCAGGCACTAAGCTGCAAGCGAGGTAGCCCCGCAGGTCTGAAGCATCCTCCTCGGGAGCGCGGCCCCGGGCCGGGCTCCCGCTCAGCGCCGGCTCCGCCAGCCCCGCTCCGCGGCCGCTTCGGATCCCCGGGCTAGGGGCACCCCTGCATCCCCCTCAGCGGCTCTGGCATCGCTGTCCTCCCCCCGCCGTGCCCCCGAGGAGGAAAAGCTCCCCCCGTACTCACAGCGCCCTGCCAGCCCTACGACTCCTCTCCGCGTCCCGTTAGCAACTGCTGCCGTTGCTACCCAAGCCCTTCCACTTCCGGGGGTCGCGGCGCCCCGCTGCCTGCTGGGAGTCGTAGTTCAGCGAGGGGCCTCGCACCGCCTGCGCGCGGCCCGCGGGACTACCGCTGGCTTCCGCGCCCCGCGGTGCCTGCCGGGGGGTGTAGGCGCCGGGGGTCGGCGGGAGCTGCTCGGAGCGGCTGGCGGAGGCGGCACCATGAAGAGGAGAGCAGGGGAGCGGGAGAAAGAACTGAAGGTATCTGCTCTTTGCTTCCTGCTCCCCCCGGAGAGCCTGCCCGGGGCCAGCCCTCCTCCCGCGCCGGCAGCCGCCGCGCTGGAGCGGGAGCCGCGGGTGAGGGGACGGCGGCGGGGCCGCCGGGAAGCGTGTGGTGAGGGGGAAAAAGCCCGAGCACGGCGGCCGGGGGCAGGAGCGCTGCTGCGTCCCCGCGGCGGCGGCGAGACCCCGGCGGCAGCGGCCCCGGCGGGGGGGGGGGGGGGGCCGGGCCGCCCGGCTTGGCCGCCGCCGCCGCGGGGGCCGGTCCCGCCGGCGGGAGGGGCGCCGGGGCTGCGGGAGCCCCGCTGGGCTGAGGCCGGTCGGTCTGTCTGTCCGCCCGCCCGGGGCCGGGCTGGCTTAGCACTCGTGCTCTTGTTAACTTGGAAATGTTATCTTCCCCTCTGCCGTGTAAGGGGGGGATCCTCGTACGGCAATAATAACGATGTTTACCATCAGGGCAAGATGTTTCAATTTTAAAGGGAGTTCTACGGTATTCTACGAGAAAAATTATACAGGTAGACGTATGTTTGGTTTTGTCACGACATTCTCAGTGAGATGATGCATAATGTAACTGCACTTTTATTTCCAAATTTCAAAGTACCCTTACTCTACACCAAGTCTAACCTAAATAAACATTTTAAAGTCTCGCATAGCACACTAGCTTTACAATGTTTTGTCTTGATGATGTATTTAGATGCGATGCTGTTACATTGAAGGTGTAATTGCACTGTGTAAGTAAACAGCATTGCTGAATGCTTTGCTCTTTCAGGTGCCTTTGAAGGGCTTGTTTTTACCACATTGTACAATACTTGACTGAAACTCTTGATGGTTGTTGTACCTCTGCTGATTTTGTTTACAAAATAGCACAGAGAAACAGTAAGTTACTTGTTTGAAATAATAATGCTGACTTTAGTCATGTTAGTGAAAGGGAGGCTAATTACACTATACATTTAGAAAATGCTTTCTAAGATGGTAATCTGGTTCACCTGTCTTTGCATATAGATTTGCTGGTTTTGGTATTGCTATTAGTTCACTATTTAACAATTAAAGTTATTTCAGTATAGGGGCAGGGAAAAGGTCTGACCCAAGTTTGCAACGAAATATCTTAATAGGAAAATAACTTTGAAGCCTGTTTGCAGTAGTAAGATCCTTAACAACTCTTTAAGGACAACCTGGTCATTTCGTAATTAATATTTCTGCTGTCCCTCATTGCTGAAGGACAGTAGTGTTTTGATTGTGTTCTGCTCTTTCTAGGTATGTGGAAACACATGCACGCGTAAGCTGTCCCATCCAATCCAATGTAATTACATTGCAGGGAAAAAAAACAACCCATGCCTTTTTTTTTTTAACCTATACATTTATGCAATCCATTCAAGGGCTTTTGTCTTTGCAATATATCCCAAACATATTTGGTAATCATATGCATTAGGAGAATAATTGCCACTGATAAGATAATCATTCAAGGATATGTGTGAGGGAGTGAGAGGATAGAAATCTGAACTACACTGCTGAAGGTTGTGGGAGGACAAGGCACTTGACGTATCAGAGGAGCAATGTATAAGAAGGACTCAAGGGGGCTAGTGTGAAAGAGTACTGCCTTAGACACATGTTGTAGGTGCAGAAACAGAGAAGGATGAAAATTATAAAAGATCCCTATAGACAGTTTAAAGTTGTGAATACTTATAGGATGCCTTAGGGAGATGTTGTAAGTTGGGTACTACCTGAGAGAAGCTTTGGGTATATTGGAAGTGAAACAAAAGGAGCCTGTAGAACATCTTGGAATAAACGATGCCAAAGGAGAAGGCAGCAATGGGAAGGGGAGGGCTTATACAAGATTAAATGTATGCTTTCTTTTCATAGGAGCATCCTCATATTGGTATTATTTCATAAAATTTAGAAATGTAATCTTGGGGCTCCTGGCACTATGCAAATTCACCCTTCAGTCTCTAGGTTTAACCATTGTTTGCTTATGTTGATCACCTAAGAAATGCTGAAGGCAAAGGAACTGTGTATTTATTGTAGTAGTCCTGCCAAGACTTCCATTTAGGTCCTGATCAAAATATTTCATAGCAAACCAAATATTAGTGAGGTTAACCCGACCTCTTCTGGAGAGTAAGATTTATGAGGCCTACTAATGAGAGGGAAGTGGTTTGATAGAGAAGCTGGTTTGGATTATATATCTCCTGGCAATGTCTTTGTTCTGGAGAAGTAAATCCTGAATAAAATTTCTTGTTTTGCTACAATTGTGTACAGTTAAATGCTATCTGTCAGAAGTCCAGTGATTGGCTTTTGCTTTGTAATTACGTAGTAGGTTTCTTACATGTCATAAGCTGTTCTCTCTCTGTCAAATTTTCATGTGTACAGCAAGTTTTGATTTATGCTGTTATAAAAGAACATTTCTGTTCCAAGTACATGTGGTAGAAATTCTTTAGAGTGCAGTACTGTCACACAGCAATTTCTACTTTGCAGATCACTCAACGGGATTGAGTAAGATTGAGTGTGTAGCAGAAATGGAGCTGTTTATGCTAGTATTTGCTGTTCCAAGCCCAAGAGGAGGAGGACACAAATTCATTCCTGGGAAGAGGGTCTGAAGAAAGTTGGGAAACAATAGCCAGAAGTTAATTACTCAGCTGTCTTAAACACCATGTTGGGGATGCTAGTGTCCTGTGGAATATTTCTCTAGTCTTAAGTGGACAGCAAAACATAATTATTCCGAAGTTTCTAAAGACACCTTTGGAGATGTTGCATGCCATCAGCTTCTCTGGTCTTCCCAATAGCAAATACTATTTCTGTGCATAAAACCAGAGCTGCTGGAGTAGATGTTGCTCTGTAGCTGGAAAGACTTTTTAATGTAACAGTCCATTGGGCATGTATTTTGTTTGTTTGAGTGTGTTTTAATTAGCAAAGTTTATAGCTATTTTGAATCTTTGTTTCTTCATGCTGTTGGTCAGAGTTTTGGTCAGCTTGCAGTAAGCTTTCTTTTTCTGGGTGAAGAAAAGGTACCTCATAAAGTAAAACTAAATATAAACCTCATATTTGGTAGTGTACTTAGACTATTTTCTCCTTTTACATTTGGAAAGAAAGCGGTTTTGCTTTTTCAATGTTAATTATCTTGATTAATATTCAGAGGTTAGTTTAAAAAGTTAATCTTTAATGTAAGCCTGTTCTCAAACTTACTTAGTGGAATTGTTTTTGTTTTTTTTTTTTTTCAAGTAAGTTTCAGTGTGACAGATGCTAAGTCCTAGAAACTACCTTTATATGCTTTCTCTGGACACTCTTTGCATCTTAAGACCCTGTGACATTACTGTGTGAAAGATAAGATGCTGAGATAGTCTAGAGTAGTATTTTCTTTTACTTTAAAAGGATTACATTGATGGGTCTTTGGAATAGACAGCTAAGCCCCGTTCACAATTACCTTATGTAGCTGTTTATGCTAATTCACATTACTGTGAAACCAGAACCGACTACAGAGAATGTATTCCACAGACATTACTGTTATGTTTGTACAGCTCCCAGCACAGCTGGGACCCCAATCCAATAAAGTCATTGCTATACAAATAATAAATGCATCAATATGCACATATCTGAATATTCACAAGGGCTTTTACAAAGATATTCATGCACAATTTCACATTTGTGGGACATGTTAGACAAAGTGGCAAGGAAATATAAAGATTTAAATAACACCAAGCTTTGCATGTATTTTATTTACAAGGAGGAAAAGGGAATATACGGTGTTTTGGCTGAGATTTCAATAAAAAAGTCTTATTTCTTGCATTTTCCTCATTTTTGCTGGCTGGAAAACAATATATATTTACAAGATGAAATAGGTGACTTCAACATATTAATACTCGGGGAAAATAGGCAAATATTCTCAGAGCACTTAAGATCAGGGTCATGATTTTAGGATTAATGCTGAAAAATGGCACCCATAGCATGCAATGAAGTATATGAACTTTAACATTGTCTTATCGTAGTTTGTTCAAATATTATGTTCATTTCTTGTTTCCTGGTATTGTTTTGCCTCTTAAGATATAAAAACGTACTACGTTTTCTAATTGAAAGAATAACTGTATTCTTTTAGAAGCTGTATTTAGAAAAATTAATGAAAAAGTTTAGATGCAGTTAAATAAGCTTCTTGTCATGTCATATTTCTGCTTAGGTAAATGGTGTGCAGGTTTTAGCAGAATCAGCAGCCAATATGCCAGTAGCAATTTTTGTGGTAATCACGTTATTGGCCCTTCCCATTATTAATGAGGCAATAATTAAGAAATAGTGTTGATAGTCACATAACACATGATTTGTATATTGGAAATGGTCAGGTAGAAGCCTTGCATATGCAGAATAAAATACAAGAAAGAATGAGTGGCAAATGTTCCTTGCTTTTAAATTCATCACATTCCTGCTGCTTAAATTGCCTCAGCTGCTAATGCTGGAACCATTACAGTAATGGACTTGGCAAATGAAGGAGAACCAAGACATACACACTTTATTACTGGAGGGGTAATTTTCTCTTCATCTGTAATAGCAGCAGTGCCTAGTATTGATCAGACCATCAAGATACTAATCCTCTGTAAAATTACTTGTTATAACTGAAAATGTGTTAATCCAAATCAGTCTGTGTCCTGACTTTCTACTTACTATTGAATACAGACTATTAGATGGTTTATTTTTTGTGATTTAAAGCCTTTATATTGATAATAGTAGGAGCTTCCTTTGCAAGAGCGTGTACTTAATCTTAGCTATGGCCCAGGGTTGTCTTTTTGTTTTAACTAGAACATCACCCATTTAATTAAGAAGTGCGTGTCTATCTTGCTGCTCTGAATTATATTGCTACTTTAGGCCCTGCAGATTTATTAAACATGTTGTTTTACATTCAATCTCTAGTTTTTGCTGTAAATAAGAACAGATCTATGCTTCACATATTCAAACCTTCTAAGATCTTGGCGATAAGGATGTGAGGAGCACGGGTCCTGAAAACA